AAAAAAAAAAAAAAATCGGACACCTTGATGTTGTCTGTTCAATGTCATCAGTGCAAGTCCACGTGCGCTTCCTGTTTGTGACTAACATGGGTCGCTCTGAAACCAGGGTGGGTTTTTGTTTGCCCTTACAGCACCAAAAAAAAAAAAAAAAGCCTTTTTATGTCATGCAATTTAACAATGCGATTTTCCTCCTGAACTTTGAATTCACTTAAAAGGGATGAAAGGTTTGTATTTCCTCGACTGGTTTTGATGAGGTATTTTTGATTATTATTCGGCCCTAAAAGCAGGGGAGGTGAATGAATGATGGTTTGCTCTGCAACTTGAAAAGCAATCAGAGGAACTCTAAATAATTAACCAACGCCTCATAATATGTCCTAATTCAACTATTCTGTATTTTTTTTTTTATTCGTATCAGCCCTGTAATTCATAGAATGAGACTAAACGTGTGAGCCGTTGAACTCCTTTGTGTGCCCTTTGACTTCCCGTGTGCCCTTTTGGCAGGCGCATCTCGGTAACCAGAATATTGTGCAAAACGTTTTGAGTTCAGTCAGTCACTCCCAAAAGGGACACTCGTTCCGAATGAGCGAGTCACTCTTCGGTATTTTCAAAAATAATGTGGCTTTTTGAAGATCGCTGTCATCAAAACAAATGAAATATTGAACCCGCCGTTGATGAGCTTCACCGTTTGAACTGAACTCCCGAAAGGTTTACGCAATTTTCAAATTCGCCGAGATGCACCTGTGTGCTCGACATACTCTGCGACGACGTCAGGACAACCTAATACTTTTAACGTTTGTCTTTCACCAGTCGCCAAGAGTGAAGGAGGCACCGCAGAACACTGAGGTGAGTCCTCCGGTGATTTTCCACGAGGGGTTCAGGGACATCGCTTCAACTTGATAAAAAAAATAATAAAAATACACCGATCGGACGACATTTGTACCTTTCAGATGTTCCAGACGCCGGAGCCTTTGAGTGGACGGACCGCTGCTGCTGGTGAAGCAGAACTACCTCAGGGTGCAGCCACACTTGCCCCGCCCCCTGCGTCACAGGCAACGAACGGAGGAACCGCTACCGCTGCTCCGACGCCGGTAACGTACACCTGCACAATCGAATGATTCGTTCGGTGAATGATGACAACACAATATTATTGGCTCCCAAGATCCCCCATTTGTCATGCTAACGCTAATGCAAAACAGAATTGCTACATGTATCTCTCAATAGCAACGGAATTTAAAAAAAAAAATCAAATCAGAGTGAGCGCCAAGTACATCTTGTAATTTAAAAAAATAATTTCCCACAGGTTCCTTCGATCTCAAGCAACGTCACGTCTCCAATTAGTTTGGTATTACGGCTAAGGTGTGTTCCGGCTGCTCAGATTTGTGCGATTTATTTTCTCATCATGAAATTTGACCCCCCCGACCCCGCAAATACTCTCTGCAGAAATAAAAAGAGGGAGCTGAACGATATCCGCTTTGAGTTCATGCCAGGCCGAGGTAAGCCAAATGCATCAATTAAGTTCGGTTGCATCGAACTTTGTAAGCACAATCCAGTTATGATTGGGTATCAATAAGTCACACATTTTATAGTTGGACTGACAATGTGTGCGTGCGTATGTGTGTTCAGACACAGCAGACGGCGTCTCGCAGGAGCTGGTGTCAGCAGGCCTGGTGGACGGGAGGGATTTAGTCGTAGGTCAGTGCAGTATTAAAATCCTTATTTCCTTCATTTAGATTAAAAACAAACATTTTTTTTTTTTTTCATTGCAGTTGCTGCAAATTTGCAGAAAATAGTGGATCAGCCCATAACCGATAAAAATGTCGTGTTTAAACTGGTGAGTTTCACAGCATGGAAAGTAAGTGACATTTTGCTTCAGTGAAAATGTTGACATTTTAGTCAACTCACTTAATATTGCCCTCTGGTAAAAAAACATCTGACACCAATATATCACCTTGAAATGTAAGAAGTTTAGAAAATTTTGGGGGGGGGCTCAGTTGTATGACTGGTATTTTGACGAGCTCCTGCTGCAGGATACGCCCAAACGAGGAGGCCAAGTTCATCTGAAACCAGTGATACATCCGTGGGCTCCCCCTAGTGGTACACCAAAGAATCAGTGCCTCAGGGCAATTAAGTTGTATCCACATTTGCACTTCATATTTTAGAACAGTTCATTTAAAACTTTTTTTTTTAAAATGTTTCTTAAATTATTTCAATGTCGTGTATTTTGTCTTTGTTGCAGGCTTCTGGAGTCGAGGGATCTGAAATACCGGATGATGTCAAATTGATCGGCTTTGCTCAGCTCACCATCAGCTAAACTGATGTTTCCGACCATGAGACCGTGACTTGCCTAAAAGATGTGAAATTTTTTGTTTATTTTTTATTTTTTGGGGGGGGGGGGCATATTTAAATATTCATAGAGATTTAGAATTTTTTTTTTTCTACCGCTGGAAAGAAAACCAGAACTGCCAAAGAAACCCACCGTTAAATGGGCCACTTTTTTGAATGAACCTGAAGTACGACGGGTTCATAAATCACTCAAAAAAACAACGCCGAAAAAAAAAATGTTTACAGTGTACTTGTTCGCTGTCTGCGAACATGTTCAACCGCTGTTTGGATTCTTTGGGTTTTGCTTTCCTTCGATAGTTGGATGCATTTGCACAATCTCAACTAACACGCTTTGAACGTTTAACAATGACTTGTGTTTAGCAAAACTACTGAATGCGCTTTGTTAATTTTTTTTTTGCTGTCATGTACGATGTATGGTTTCAGTTAACGTCGAGCTCTAGAGAACCACAAAAAAAAGGAACGCAAGTATTTAAAAACTTCATCCGGCAGTCACGCTTAAATGGAAGACGAGTAAATAGTTCAGAACTCGTTTTTGTGACATTTATGTACATTTGCGGTCCAGCATGTTACTTTTGTGCAGTTTTTGAATCCTTGAGCTTGCATCCCAAAATCAAACAGTTGCAGAAGACTTTGTCGCATCATCACCCCAAAAAAAATAATCAAGCAGCGATATACGTATCTCTCGTTTGCCTTAATAGTCCCAATCTAACGATAAAAGTGATTATCGGAAATAACCCTTGACAGCACTGACGTAGGAAGTGGAACGATGCTAACGATGGTGTACATGTCAACGTATAACGTCAAATTTTTGGTCTTACAAAATTGGCCCATTGCCATATACTTAATTTATGATTTCATGCTAAACGGTGCCATAAATCGGAAACCGCGAGAAAACCAAACAAATTCGTAGAACGTATACTAGATGCTAATCTTGGCGTAAAGCTCAACCTATGCCTTAATAATGACGTTGCGGGAATTCTTGCGTCGATTCACGATATTAACATAAGCGCGCGTCTTACCATAAAACTTTTGTTTGTTTTTACGTGAAGTCAACATCAACTGATTTCCAATTGAACGAAAAAGACAAAATGACAACAAAGTCAAACGTCTCCCAACTGAAACCACACATTTTCCAAAGTTTCTTAGCCAGCTAAGTTTTTGTCGAGTCATTCACACAAATGGAAAAAAAAAAACAATTTAAGTGCATTTTTGTGTGTGTGTGTACATAGAGAAACACAAGTACTTGATTTAACTCGTAGTATGTAAATAATGACATTATTATTATTATTATTATGATTTTTTTTTGTTGTTTTGTTTTTGTTTTCAAACGGGATGTTTCACGCTTAGCCTTGGTTTTGTCCCAGCACATTTTGGGAGGCTTTGAAGGAAGACGACAAGACTTTGGGTACTGACGATTCACAGATTGAAGTCTACTTTGGGAACTTTCTGCCTTTTGTAAGCAAAGGAAAAAAAAAAAAAAATCGATGTCACGATGTGGATTTTTTACGCTGTTTACGAAATTTTTTGAACGGGAACGTGCAAAAGGGTGCAATAACTAAGTCAGCCGCCTTTCGATTCAAAAAATGACCAATCGTCACGTTTCTCCTTGCACCAAAGTTCCGACACATAAATGCTAGCGCGAACATTTGGCCGACAAGATTCTCAACCCGTCTCAGTAGTTTTTTCCTGTTAGGCAAATACGATTCTTCAGCCAATAACTTGTTTTTGGCTATAATATTATGAAAATAATCACTACTTTGTTTCAGGAGTTCCAAGCATGTTTCTTTATAAGTCTTTTTCGTCAGTAATGAAGAAAACACGAGACCGAGCTTGTTTTGCCTCCTCGTGACGGGGATGGATGGCTTGTTGCCATTTACGCTCATAGAAAAAAAAATCTGACAAAATGTTCAGCATTCTGTTATAATTTATAATTGTACTGTTTTGCAATAACTATTAAAGGCAGACTGTTTTATTGCATTATTTTCTGAGCAGTCCTTATTTTTAATTTAATCTAATAAACAGTAGTTATGTTTATATCATGTCTTTTATATATCTATCGTCAATCAAGTAAAAGAGAAAATATCGCTTATGCCAACCTCAATTATTCTACAAAGTTTGCAACTATTACCTGTTTCCAAAGCTTTTCGTTCCGCGCGGCGGCTGCGTCCTCCGAAGACCGCATGACATCTCTTGGGCCCCGCAATTCGACCGACTCTCCAAAAAAACGTGCCGGCTCCATGTGACACGTGTCTCCAACGTGACTTTGTAGTCCAGCCAGGCTTTTATCATATTTTGCATTATGTGTTTGCTGTGGCAGCTCATAAAAGAAAACAACTGATTGTGTTTAACCATTAACATGGAGCATTATAACACAAGCCACCGACTCGACGTTGCATCACAATTTTTTTCCCCGACACCATGAGTACCTTCACGCACATCCTCAAGGAGATCGGCGAGTTCGGTTTATTCCAGAAGCGCCTGGTGGCCGCCTTGTGCATCCCCAACATCTTCGTCGCCTTCGACATCATCAGTCAGGTTTTCGTCGGTTTTAACTACCCAAACTACTGCAACACCGACTGGATCCTGGATCGGGTGGATGCCAACCTGACCCTGGAGAGGCAGAAGGAGCTCACCATCCCCGTAAATCCGGATGGAAGCTTCCAAAGCTGCCTCATGTTCACGCCAGTCGACTCCGACTTGGAAACCATCGAGCTGTACGGCCTGAACGAGACCACGAGCTGCCTCAATGGCTCCGAATTTGAGGTACCGCCTGGGACCTCCACTATTGGGACAGAGGTGAGATGGAGAATGGTCGCCACGGTACCGGTGGGCGAACCTCACCATTTATTGTCGGCTCCCAATTACCTATCACAGAGAAGAACAAAAAATGAAAATGGTCAGAAAATATGATTTTGGCCTCATCTTGTGGGCTACAGCTGCGCCATAATGATGCTCTCTATGAAGCATCTTGGGATGGCACATGTGTGAGGTGGACAAGGGCTCCCCTTAGATTTGGTTTCGTGAAAAATGACTTGGATTTTTTTTTTTTTGTGGTCACTCTTGTTCCCTCTTTGTCAATCAGTTCAATCTGGTGTGCGACAGAAGCATGATGATTGAGGTGTCCCAGTCAGTTCACATGGTGGGACTTCTCATCGGCGCTCTCGTGCTGGGCGCAATGGCTGACAGGTCCATTGTTTCCTCAATTATATCCACCGACTGCAGCTAGAATCTCGTTTGGATTTGCTCGAAAGAAATCCAATCTTTTTTTGCAGGTTTGGCCGGCGCTTCGTGGTGTTGCTTGGGCATCAGCTTCTTTTCTTGGCGGGCGTCGGCGCCGCATTCTCTCCCAACGTGTACGTTTACATCGTGCTCAAATTCATGTGCGGATTCTCCCTGTCGGGACTCATTGGCAACGGATTCGTGATTGGTGAGCAGTACGACCCAACACACACAATACTGAACACATCTATTTGACCTTTGATCTCATTTTAGTGAGTTCACAAGATTTGAAAGGAACCGGCTCCCCTTACGACTGTTCTGTCCTTGTATGACCACTGACAGCTTTTGTGAGGCAAATGAAATGGCTCGGGCATCCGATTAGGATAACTCCGGAAGGCCTACCTGGTCCAGTATTCGGGGCACGTCCCATTCAGATGAGATTCCGGGGGCGACCCAGGAAAGACTCTCTATCGCGGCTGGCAAGAGAACATCCTGGAATCCTCCCGGAAGAGCTGGACGAAGTGGCTCGGGAGGTGGAAGTCCGTACCCTAGCAAGCTGACCCTGGATAAGCTTTAGAGAAAAGGATGCAAGATAGATTGTACTGTATTATTAACACAAGTCGAGTGAATGGTGTTGCTGTAACGATTCAACTGACACCCCAGCGACCTACCGGCATGAATGAAGGTTCTCTTCTTGCGCTTCCCTGAAGGTGGCGAGTGGTGCGAGTCATCCAAGTTTGCCTTCTGCACCGTCGTCAATCACAGTTTTTACCCCATCGGTCTCGCCGCGTTGTCCGGTCTTGCCTATTTAATCCACGATTGGAGGATCCTCCAACTGACTCTCTACGGGCCTCTTCTTATTTTCCTGCCCGTATTATTCTGGTCGGTACCACCACCCGATACCGAGATTCACGTCGATATCATGCTGGTTTCAAATAAATAGTAAATGACCCGCATTTCAACTGACCAGGTTCCTGCCGGAATCGGCTCGCTGGCTCATGACTCAGGGGAAGAAGGAGCAGGCTATGAAGGAGGTGCGCAAAGCGGCAAAAGTCAACGGGAGGGAAGTGTCGCAAGCTCTACTGGACAAGGTGAACTGATTCAGTGGCGGTTTCTGGTATGCGCGATGCGCAAACGCTGCACATCGGCATCATAACGACCGATGTCATCCATGTAAGATGGCGTTGGAGGAAATACCCAAAAGAGGGAACATACTGGATTTCTTCAAGATAGCGTACCTGCGAAAACGAATGCTGGCCATGAGCTACATCTGGTGAGGATTTGAACGCACCCCCTGTGACTGTGCGCGTGATCGCCGCATTTTAACGCCTGTTTAATTTGGTCGCACTTCAATCTGCAGGAAGCCTTTGAAAGGGAATCCGCAAATGGACAAATCTGCTGTTTCGAAACAATACGGCGGAAACGGGTGTCGCTAAGGGCAAAGGGATTTTTTTTTTTTGTGGGACTATTCATGAAAGACGCCTACCAAATTTTGAGATGCTATAATGAACGGACTCTGACCGTGTGGGTTATTACAGTTTATAATGAGTCATAAACTGGTCTGCCAAAATGAAATGACCAAAGCTCAAACTCCTCTTCATGTTGCGTCGTCCAGCTGTTTCCAAAGTGTAGTGAGAGTTTTGTAGCAATCAGAGAAAATTTGGAGTACAGGTGGTTTGTTTTTGATGGACCCCCTTGGGAACAAAACAAACTGACCTTAAAACTGTTGTTTCTAACCAAAAATAGTAGACACTCTTCGGGCATGGTTCCATGAGACTTTTTGTGAGTCTACTCGTGATAGACATGCCTACCAAATTTCATTTTGGTCATTTAAACTGGTGCACTACCAAAATTCTTTACTGCAATATTTCAAACTCAAAAGAAATTCTCAAAAATAATTGACTGATTTTTATCCAAACCATACGTATTTTCTTGTCAAGTTGCTTCAAAAACATTTCTCATTATAATGATCATGAATAATGACTTGTTTGGTTTAGTTTTTCTTTTAAAAAGCCTGACTGTAACACATAGGTGTCAAACTCAAGGCCCGGGGTCCAGATCTGGCTCGTCACATCATTTTATGTGGCCCGCGAAAGCAAATCAAATTTCATGATGGTTGCTAAAATCTCAACCAAAATATAAAATTCTCAAATCTCATTGTAAGCATTTTCATATAACCAAACCCCTCTGTACAGTAACTTAAACAATAGTTGAATAAACCGGTATTATTGACTTTTAAAAACTTGGTTTGAGTGATTATGGCCCTCCAAGGCAAACAGTAACTAAAATGTGGCCCGTGACAAAAAATGAGTTTGACACCCCTGTTGTAACAGATCGCTTTCATTTCTACCTTAGCGCATTGCCGGTTTGGCAGCCAGTCTAATGGCCGAGTGTGTGCTGGGCACAGGTTTGGAGCCAGCATGATGAGCTTCGGCCTGAGTCTGAGTGTCGGCAGCTTCGGAATGAACATTTACCTCACGCAGTTCATCTTTGCCTTGGTGGAGCTTCTCGCCCGTCTGGTCACTTTACCGCTCATCGGACGTTTCGGAAGGCGAGCGTGTCAGGCCGTCTCATTGCTGTTGGGAGCCATCGCCTGCCTGGGCCTCTTCGTCGTACCAAAAGGTGACATCAACATGCAACAGTTTTTTGAGACACATGAAACATTCCATACAGGCTCTATGTTGGATGTGGTACTGGGATATATTTTCATGTACAAGTGATTGATCAGACACATTATCATTATCCGATTGTATTTAAAAAAAAATAAATAAATAAAAAAAAATCGTCTTAGAATTTTAGCAGTTCTATTAAAAAAAAACTGAAATTTGACGAGATATGCTTTAATTTGTATCTGATTAATTTTAAAAAACGTGAGGGGGGGGCGGGGAAGGACAATTTTGTATGTTCATTTGTTCCGAGAAATTAAAATAGGTGTACCGTGTGCATTTACTGCCCCCTGGTGGCCAATGTACACACAACAAAACAAGCAGCATTCTACCGTAATCGGAGCCTGAAAATAGATGCGAACGCACAAACATATAAATAAGTATAAAAGGAATGCCCCACATTTCTTCACAAATACAGAATGCATCCTCTTTTCAGAGCTTCCTGTTGTCACGACGGTCGTAGCTGTTTTTGGGAAATTTGCATCCAGTGTTTCCTTCGGCATCCTGTTCGTTTATAGCGCAGAGCTGTACCCCACCACACTAAGGTAAGGTCAATTTGAAATACTTGGAGTTCTAGGATTTTTGGGCAATTCTTTCTATCTATCAAGCTATATAGTACACACCAAATTACAAATGCCATTTTTTTTCTCTGTACTATGAAGATAAACAAATACTCAGGGATGACGTATCAGAAAACTGTATCCCCCTGTCACTCATTTTTATATTTTTTTTAAGCGTTAGGGACTCAAGAATACATGATTTTATTCATTATATATCTATCTATTACATTTCGGAGTTATCGGAATCTTGTTCTGATACACATCAGAATTAGCGCAGGCCTCAAACAAATCAATATAAATTGAGACCTAGCATCAACCGTGATTACAGTAATGACGCCAAAAGACATTCTCATGTCAGATGTAAAAACGTGATGAAAAAAAAAATCCCAAAAAACAAATCCACAGTAAGTCATGCTTGCCGTTTGCGTGTGGGCAGGCAGAGTGGCATGGGTCTCAACACCATGTGGTGCCGGCTGGGAGGCATCCTGGCCCCCCTGATCAAACTCCTGAGCGTGTACCACCACAGCCTCCCCATGCTAGTGTACGGCATCGTGGCATTTAGTGCGGTGGGCCTGTGTCTGCTGCTGCCAGAGACCCTCAACACTGAACTCCAGGACCACGCCCAGCTAGAGTAAGGCCTTCTGGGGAAAGGAGAGAAAAACAATTGATTGATGATGAAATTTTCATCTGTTTCTATTCATTTTTAATTTGCAGGAAACCCGAGATGGGAAAGACGAATGATGAATGGGAAAAGCAAGAGAAAAGCCACGGCAAAAGCACCGCATTGTAGTTACGACTTGGTTACCATGGCGAGATTGGCTCATACTCGCAGAGCACCTCACGTTTCCAATCATTTTTGAACTTTTGATCAGTGTTCTCCCTACATTTTTTTTTGTGGGGCTTATGTTTGTTGCACAGAATCCTCCACTATATTGCTAGATGTTTTTTTGATTTTTTTTTTAACCGTTTGAAAATAACACAAGGTCAAAGTCATCAAGACATTTACCAGTTTCAACAGTTTACTATACACAGTAAGTTTATCGGATTTGTGCGCTTATCGTATTTTATGATATTCGTGATATTGTACTTGATTTTGAAGTTTGCGTCTGAATTCAAATCGATCTGTCATGACCATAATTTCCCGAGAATAACACTCACTCGTGTATATAAGACATTGCTTGTTTTCAGACATTTATTTTTTTGGGGGGCGTCAAGACAAGTTCTCTTACCTTGCTAACAGTTTCGGGTGTCACCGCTCGCCACTTCCTGTTGCGTGACGAAGCCTCTCACACGATGTCGCAGAAATAAACAAAAAGAAAGAACGTTAAGTCCAATACAAATTCTCTTGTCTCCGAAATGTTTCTGGAAAGGTGCACGCACACATTTAGCCCTTTATTTATTTTGAATGGTCAAATACCATGCAAAGGAAGTTGCATACACATTTTAACCCTTTCATGCACTGTAATCTGATAACATGATAAAATGTCCACTGGAGTAACCGCTGTCCCTGAAAGGGTTCATTTCACTCTGGCTGCGGCTGGCACTCCTGCGATATCAGTCAATTGTATACAAGTCGTGAAAAAGTAAATATTTTCCCTGACACGCCCCCACTGTCAGACTACCCGAAATGGAAGTTAGCCGGGAAAACACTGTTTTTTTGCAAGATTGGAATTAAGAAAGCCTTGCGATATTTAATTAACACACCATAAATTCGATTCCGTCTTTTTACGGCATTGTACCGGAATCCAAATGTGACGGGAAAGCAAACACTGCCGGACCTCTTGTGCTTGCGACGATCGGTTGCAAGTCACGTGATGATGACATCACAGTTTGGCGAGTTGATCCCTTAGCTCCAAACGGGCGATGGTGGACAAGTGCACCTCATCGGGTCCATCAGCGATTCGCAGCGTTCTTGCATAAGAATACCTGGTGGGGGAGGGGAAGAAAAAAAAAAAGCCTTTTATTGTATGACCATGTGTGATTTGAGACCTATAGAAGGAAGCATATGACACCAATTTTTTAAATCTCTGATTGATGTTATTGATTGTTCTTAACTCCTCAAAAGCACTTGGGAGTTGCACTTTGGATGAAAACTGCCAAATAAATCGTTTGGTGAAGTGAGATGCTCACATGTGCGCCAGAGGGAAGTCTCCAGAGACGCCGGCACCTCCGAAGACTTGGATGGCACAGTCCACCACTTTGCACGCCATCCTGGCCGCTGCCACCTTGATCAGTGCGATCTGCGCAGATGAAGCGGGCACACATGTACATGTTGGAAACATCTCAAAAAAAATAAAAATAAAATAAATAAAACAGACCTACGCCAACATCAGAAAACCTAAACATGCAAGTCTGACTTATTTAGAAAGGGAAATGGGGGACCAGAAATTCAACAAAATAAATAAAGGTACAAATTAACATGAGAGAAAATGAAAAATATATTTAATTTTTCGTATTTTTTTAAATTTAATCAAAAACAATTAAAAAAATTAATCTTAAACAGTGGGTTAAATTCTGTGGAATTTTTTTTACATGAATATGTAAAGAATAATAATATAAGAAAAGCACATTCAAAAAATAGGCTCGGTTAATAAATTAGTAGGAGCAGTCACTTGTTTATCATGACACTTTTTCCTTTTCCGTGGCAGTTATATCACACAAAAAGCCCAAGAAAAAGCAAAAAAAAAAAGCTGAGCGTCAGACAATAATTTCACCTGCTTGCGAGCGGTGCGGCTGCCGAGCGTATCGAGCACGTGGGCGGCGCCAAGTATGAGCAGGCGGGTTTGCTCAATCGTGAGTCGGCACTCTGCAATCCAGTGAGCGACCACCTCCTACACACACACACACACACACACACACACACACACACACACACACACACACACACACACACACACACGTCATGGCATGAGCTGTCCATTTAGGTGTCGACAAGCGGCTTTTCAAGGGAACGTGGCCTACGTGTTGGTAGAGCTTTTTGCCAAAGGCTTCCCTGGAGGCGGCACGCCGGCAGAGCAGCTCCAGCGCCATCTCAGCCAGGCCCACGGCTCTCATGCAGTGATGCAGCCGGCCCGGACCCAGACGGCCCTGAGCGATCTCAAAGCCTCGCCCTTCGCCTACCAACAGGGAAACGGCGGTTAGAGAGGAGAGACCCGCGTTGGCTGCGACAAATATTTGAGGACTCTTAACATAAATGTTTAGGGGTTGCTCAAACCACTTCCTGCTGCCACCCACCGAGAAGGATGTTGGAGGCAGGGACACGCACGTTTTCGAAGTGCACTTCAAAGTGGCCGCCATGGATGGCGTCTGGGGAGGGGGGACATGGCAAATTTTGGTTGGCATAAATTCCACAGTGCACATCTCATTCAGAACATTATGTAATGTGATCCAGTACAATAAGTCTTTTCTTTTTTTTTTTTTTATATAAAAATGTAAGATATTCTCTTGACTGATCAACATTTTGTGCTTTTTTTTTAAAAATTAAATTTACACTCAATCAATGCGCCGGGAATTTTGACTTTCCGCATGACTCCAGTTGGCAGGTGTTCGAAACCTTCAGCTCAACAGGCAGTGATGACAGAAAGGCCATTTGAAGAGGAAAATATTCTTGTGCATGACAAAATATTTTTGTCAGACTTTTTCCCCCCCCATTATATATTCATTCGTAAAAGTAACTTTTACTTATTTTTTGAACTGAAGTATAATCACACAGTGGATACAAAAAAAAAAAAGTCTTGAGATGTCTATTTACATGATGTTACATAATGTGACCTATAAGCTGTACATGCACAGGTGTGCCTCGTCCAGAGACGGTGGCGGTCATACCGTCTTGTCCAAACACGGTGAGGGGCCTGATCAATTTGACGCCCGCCGTATCCATTGGCACCAGGATCATGCTGTGTCTGGCATGTCTGCAAGTGTTCAAACAGAAAATATTTTCAATCCCGGCGTTTTGTGGTTGCTCAACCGTTTAAGGAGGCGCTGATTATTTGACTGTATATCCTGGGCGTGGTTTTCTCGGCAATGAGCTCTCGCCGCCGAGAAAGCAAACAAACAGCATAATGACTTCTTTGTATGGCGACGCGAGGCCAAAGTTCACATGCTGAAGTCTCAATGACATGTTGAGCGGCAAAACAACTCAAAAAATAAGCTCATTCGTGGCCACTATTTGGCGCACTGTCAAGTTGTGGGTTTTCTCATGCATTTCTTGCACTGCAATCGGTAAAATATATGTTAGGCCATTGGTCAAATCATTTGTTTGATTCAAAATTTTATGAGAATAAAGTCATTCGGAGGGGAGTCACAATTTTACAGGAATTCAGATGTCCACTCTAAAAACAGTTGGGTCCAAAAAACAAACAAAAAAAAAAAAACAACAGCAATAAAAAATTGAGTCAAAAACAAAACCGACCAATCTTTTGGGGTTATTGATCTAAACCAAAAAGTTGGGTCAAATGAATAACCCACAAAACCACACCACAAAAATTGGCTTGCTTTGCACAAAATTGCAACCCCGGCAACCGTGCCCCCAAAATTGGCTTCTTAAAAAAACATAAGACAAACAATTGGTTTGGTTACGCAAGAGTTCCGTGGCATTCGTTTGCAATTTTGTGTGTGTGTGTGTGTGTGTGTGTGTGTGTGTGTGTGTGTGTCTGTGGCAGGCCTAACGCGGAGTGAACTGAACTTTTAGGAGGCGACAGAGGTGATGCTGACCTGCTTCTGGCATCCTCGGGGGCGCTCCTACACATCACAATGGCCACTTTACATCGGGGATGCCCTGCGCCTAAAAGGACCACACACCCACACACACAAACACACACACAGTTTTGTTTTTTCCACCTTTGGAAACTCATCACGATGTGACCCTTATGTGTGCGTGCGTGCGCTCAGAAATGTGGCCCCAGCTGGAAAATCCAGCCGAGCAATGACGGATGGATGCTCGACCACATGCTGATTTACATTTCCCGAAATGCTCACACTGAATGGGCTTAGGGTGGTCGGAGGTCCGCTTTGACGTCGACGTGCGGCTACTTGGTCTCCGAAGTCATCCGCATAGTCACGGCGACACACAAAAAAAACCCTAAACAGTCTTCCTGTTTTGATTTCCATCAAACGGGTCCCCTGAGGGCAGGGTGACATATGGACACCAGACATGTCTGTCGGCACGATGCGACGTGCTCGGGCTTTCAAACACAAATTGAAGCACTAATACTGTATGTCTGTACACTCGAGCCTAGTTCGGAGTCTTTCGCATTGAGTGTGGCATTCCGGGGCTGCACTTTGGACAGCCCGAGGCACGCCGGGATCCCCCGTGACAAAAGACGGAATGACAGAGACAAAAGCAGTCAGGTCCGAACGTGCCCCAGTCTGCACTGGAATGTAACAACACTCTTCCTAGAGTCGATTTTTGTCGACACGCTCCTTTTTTTCCCGTCTGCTTGACATCTTCCCCATTTTGTCGATTTCCGTTGCCAAACGTCACCTGATTTTCCCTTCGCCGGCTGGGAATTTGGGCTGTGTAATATGAAAAAAATTGCGTTCTGCTTTGTCCCCTGCCACCCAACTTTGGACGAATACTGCTGAAAGATACAGGGAGAAAAAAAAAAAAAAAAGTAACGGATGGTGCAGAGGGTTGTTTTTAGAACACTTTGTTACAGTTTGGCATTCAGATATTGTAAAATTGAGGTTTGAGCAGAGCATGCTGGTGAGCTTTTTTTACGAGTATCAGCGCCACACTGAAAAGAAAAATGGGGGGGGGATTAAGGTTGTGATAATGCACAATTAATAGATTTATTCCATGAGAAATAAATCAAAATAAGAGGCAAGAGATGAGGAGGATCCAAAGAAAAAAAAAAAAAGTTGGACTGCTGTGGGGAAAAATAGTTCCAGTTTTGTTCGTGTAAAAGGTCACAATTGACGGACCAATAATAAATCGATTCCGAGAAAAACGGTTGCATTTTTGAAGTCGCAATAATACAAGAGAAAAATTCTACGACGTGGCAAATGGAGGAGAAAAGGTCTGAATTTGACAAGAATAAAATTATGAGGGGAAAAAAAAGGTGGACTTTTCAAAGACTTAAGCAGTAACACTGACTGAAAACAGTTGCATCCAGTTGAAATAATAGCAAAAAAAATTGTTGCAATACACAAAAACAGAACTTAAAAGATTACAAGAATGTACACTATTATTAACATTACAAAAAAATGCTCATTTAAGGAGGCATCGAAATAAGACAAAGATATTATTTTTGCAAAAAAAGGGAATTTTTAACAAGAAAAAAAAAATTAGAATCACATGAAAATAGTCACGTAAAAAATTGTCACCTTTTCGAGAAAACTTTCAATATAAGTCGAATACTCCTCATTTGATAAAAGTGAGAACCAAATTGAACCCTTTCATGCACAAATAATGATAACCGGTCACCTGATAACCTGTCCACTGTAGTAACCGCTGTACCCCAAAAGGGTTCAAGTAATACAACATAAATACTCAATCGCATTTTTATGAGAATAACATCAAAATATAATGAGAGGGGGGGAAAAAAGTCACTGTTTGTACAAGGTAACGCAACACAAACGGGTACACATTTGGCAGACTCATTCATCACAACTTGTCAGGCGTTGGCTTCTATATGCACGTCGACTTGCGAGCAAAAACAAAAAACACTTCTCAGGAAGCTAAGCTGAAGCAGAGTTGAGAGCGCAAACGTACACACACACACACACACACACACACACACACACACACACACACACCCAAACACCCACACGGCGTGTGCGGTTTTTATCCCCCTCTCCGGCAACTTGCGTCCACAGACACAACACGCGTTGATGTTTGTGTGAACGTTGGACATTTGATTAGCCGGCGACAGACAAAAGACGGAAGAAGAAGGGGAAAAAAAAAACAGGAGGTAAGAAGTTTGATTTTGTTTGTTTGTTTGTTTTTGTTTACCCTGGAGTTGGAATGAATGTCATATGTCAAGAGGAGGTGTTTTGTGTTTAGTTTGCAGCTTATTCTTTGCCTTCCCGTCAGGCTATTGAAATAGAATTGTTGTTTTCCTCCTCCAGAGTTTAATGATAAGTCAAGGTCCTTTTTTTTTTTTTTTTTTACAACCCAATCGTGATAACGATCATCTCCTGAATTGTGAAATTTGCATATTGGTTGATATATATATCTATATATAGATATATATATAATTTTTTTTTCGGGGTATCCATCAGAGTCTCAAACTGCAGTGCATCCTACAGAAAGCCCTTTCCATTATTTTATCCATGTAGCAAAATGCGGCAAAGTTACAAAAATAAATAAATAAATAAATTAATTAAAATGGTGGAACCTGCAACCGCATTAATTAATGAGCATAAAACGACTTCATTATGCTCTTGGATCCCATTAGAATCTGCAACCGTACCTAATACGGCGACGGGCAATTTCAATATTTTCTTGTGCATTCCTTCAACAAAAATCATTTTAAATCAGTCATCTTAAGCTCATGTTTCCAAGCGGTCTTCTGGCTGTGTTTACCAAAACAAATCACTTCATCCAGCCTTGAATATGCAGCTGGTGACAGCAGGGAAAATACTTGACATGTTTTGGAATGTTCCAATCGTTCCCTCCGCTGCAAAACAAAACCTGGGCTCGAAAGCATGAAATCGCCATCTTCGTGGGATCGTCGTGTTTTGCGGTTGGTCGTTCTGATACGTTTCCAAGGGTGGGCGCTTAACCGCCGGTCGTCATTGTGAGGAAAGACGAGGAACAGTTCAAAAGCGCGATGGATGCTCAGCGATGTGTGCTGTTGGAGCCCACGCGGACTTCTGAGGATTACAAACATTAGGGAAGCCATGCAGGAGAGATTCCGCGAAAGCCTTCCCAGTTCAATTCTTCATCTCCCCCCCGCTCACACAGAAAAACATGGAGGATTACTATTACCACGACGACGAGGACGGCAGGCACAACGACAGCTACGACTACAGCTACGAGCACTCCGTATGCGACAAAGAGGCGGTGCGCTCCTTCGCCGGCGTCTTCCTCCCGGTCATCTATTCGTTGGCCCTGGTGGTGGGCATGGCGGGCAACACCCTGGTGGTGGCGGTGTACGCGTCGCGCTCGCGCCTGCGCACCTTGACCGACGTTTGCATCCTGAACCTGGCGGCGTCGGACCTGCTGCTGCTGGTCACCTTGCCCTTTTGGGCGGCCGACGCCGTGCACGGCTGGAGGTTGGGCCCGGCCGCCTGCAAGCTCACCTCCTTCCTCTACGGCGCCAACTTCAGCTGCGGCATGCTGCTCCTGGCGTGCATCAGCGTGGACCGCTACCGCGCGGTGGCTCGCAGGAGCGGCAGGGGCCCCCGGGCGCGGCGGCAGTGGATCCTGGTGTGCTCGGCGTTGTGGGGCCTGGCGATCTTCTTGGGGTTGCCTGAACTCATCTTCTCGACGGTGAAGCATTCCCATCACAGGATGTACTGCACCGCCGTGTACCCGCCCAGCATGGGACGCCCCGCCAAGGCTGCTCTGGAGCTGCTGGAAGTCATCCTTCGGTTCGCGATACCTTTCCTGGTGATGGTGGCGTGCTACTGCTCGGTAGGCCGAGCCCTGTCCCGAGCACCCGGGCTGCGCAGAGACAAAAAATGGCGGGCCCTGCGCGTCCTGTTGGCGGTGGTGGCCGTCTTCTTGCTCACGCAGCTTCCCTACAACGTGGTGAAGCTTTGCCGAGCGCTGGACGTCATCTACATGCTGGTGACCGACTGCGAGGTCAGCAAGGGCCTGGACCACGCCGTGCAGGTGACCGAGAGCCTGGCGCTGACCCACGCCTGCATCAACCCGCTCCTCTACGCCTTCATCGGGTCCTCCTTCAAGGGACACGTCCTCAAAACCGCAAAGCGTCTCGGGCGGCGACTCGGGAGTCGTCCCAGACAAGAGGACGGCGAGCCGGCGGTGGAGATCGCGCTCAACACGCGCAATCAGAACCAGTCGCAGTCGGGTTCGGAGGAACCGGATACCAGCACCTTCAGCATGTAAAGGCACAAGCGCAGCTCGCCTTTAATTTGCCAACAATTCGGCTTTTTCTTTTTAGACCTGAGAAAGGATAAATACTACAGTATTTTGGTCCGAGATATCTGGAAGAGTGCGTTAACGTTTTAAGACCAAGTAGTCTTAGCGAAAACAGTAAAACCCACTAGAACGAAGCCCCGGCTATTTGCGGGGTTCGGGACCGAGCCATCGGTAGGGCGTGGCAGAAAAGTGCACACGACTACGTGAAAAGGTGACTCGTGAACTTCTGATAGGCGGGCGTACACTGGACACGCAAACGCATTTTTAACTCTTTCACTCCCAAAGACGTTTTTAAAATGTCTTTTCAGACATGACCCACATACATTCAAACTCTGTGCACATACAGTACGTGCACACACACACACACACACACACACACACACACACACCTGCTTTTTTTATGCTCGCAGCTCACTTTTTATTCCGAACAGATTGTCTGACAATTGACTTGCGTCTGCCTCAGCTTGGGAGACTGATTTACGATTTCAACAAGAAGCGGGGTCGTCAACATCTGTCTCTTGTTCAACATTTAGACGAGGATTGTTATACATCAAGTGTTTGCAGGCACAGGCTAACCGTTGCACTTGGTCTCATTTGTACGTTTTGTCGATTGAATTAAAAAGACTAATGTTTCTCTCGTGTCTCTTGTTCAACATTTAGACGAGGATTGTTATACATCACAAAAGTGTTTGTAGGCACAGGCTAACCGTTGCACTTGGTCTTATTTGTACGTTTTGTCGATTGAATTAAAAAGACTAATATGTTTCTCTCATGTCAATTTTTCAGACGAAGGACCATAATCGGTCCTCCAATGGTCATCATAGTAACACTTGCGAGACCCAAAGGATATTATTGGGAAATTCTGCTTCTTTTTTTTCCCCAGCCCAAGTTTGAATTTCAGTTTCAGGCATTTTGGCCGCATAGAATGAAAATAGCTTAAACATGCCAGATACGACCAATATTTTATATATTTTTAAAATTAGTCCCTAGGATCAATCTTTAATCACGGCAAGCTCTGGTGGGTTCAATAACGTGGCTATTTTATAAGAGTATACATCTTTTCTTCCCTTTAACGGAAATTCATTCCAAATCGGAAAAAAATAAAATCCAAGGATCAATCTTTAATCACGGCAAGCTCTGGTGGGTTCAATAACGTGGCTATTTTACAAGAGTATCCATCTTTTCTTCCCTTTTCAACGGAAATTCATTCCTAAACTCAAAGGGTACACCGCAACCATTTGGAAGGGATCGCCGTGTCCTGCGTGCCGTTTTACAGGGAGACAATGGAAAGAAAACGGCTGCGTCATAACCAGGGATGCCATTGGAGAAACGCAATCCAAAGCCCGGGAGAGGACACTTTGGGAGGGGGAAACACCCTTGCGACGAAACTCGGTTATTGTCAACAAATGTCTCCTTTTGTTTATAGTGAAACTGTAACGACGCAGAAATGTTATGACTCCCTGGAGAATGATGATATCAACTCCTTCAAGGGCCATTTGCGATATAATAGAGCAATCGAGCAAATGTTCATCATAGAATAGTTTCCCCCCCTATTACTGCTTTAGAGGCACGACATCACAGGATTGTTTAAAACGTTCACAAGCGAGAGATTTGTTGGACAGTGGACTTCACGAAAGCTCACACCCACTCTCGGTCAAAGAGGGGCAAAGGGGGGAGGGCGGCAAAAGCCAAACAAACAAAGAGATTCTTGGATTGACATCAGGGGCGTCAGTCAATAGATGATAATTTGGACGAGCACAATCAACATCTCCGACATGAATATGAGCTTTGGGTGTTAGCACTTGTCTCAAAATTGGCCTTGCCAGTTGGCAGCCCATCAGAGCATGCGGGATGCGAGATACGGTGGAACCTCAGAGGTCCATATCATCGCAAAGCAGTTTGAGATCATGCAGAAGGCGGAATGATCAGTTCCAGATTCAAAATGTCACCATGGCAAATCCTTGAAATGCAGAAGGCATCATGTACGACAACAATAAAAAATGTTTTCAACAATTAAAACACTCAACCTGAAGTGCAAAGATGATGTCCTTAAAATGGAAGTCAAGTCAAACATTGCCTTTGCAATAATATAGCCCCCACTATATTCCGATTAATATTGTTTGGGGAATGAGAGTTGAGAAGACTAATCCACCTGTATGGCTGTTTTATGCTACAACGAGAGTGGAAATATTTTTACGAAAAATGAGACTGGTCTGTCGTCAAATACTGTACAAAACATCTCCGACATGAATATGAGCTTTGGGTGTTAGCGCTTGTCTCAAAATTGGCCTCGCCAGTTGGAATGCGGGATGCGAGATACGGTGGAACCTCTGAGGTCGACATCTCCGACATGAATATGAGCTTTGGGTGTTAGCACTTGTCTCAAAATTGGCCTTGCCAGTTGGCAGCCCATCAGAGCATGCGGGATGCGAGATACGGTGGAACCTCAGAGGTCCATATCATCGCAAAGCAGTTTGAGATCATGCAGAAGGCGGAATAATCAGTTCCAGATTCAAAATGTCACCATGGCAAATCCTTGAAATGCAGAAGGCATCATGTACGACAACAATAAAAAATGTTTTCAACAATTAAAACACTCAACCTGAAGTGCAAAGATGATGTCCTTAAAATGGAAGTCAAGTCAAACATTGCCTTTGCAATAATATAGCCCCCACTATATTCCGATTAATATTGTTTGGGGAATGAGAGTTGAGAAGACTAATCCACCTGTATGGCTGTTTTATGCTACAACGAGAGTGGAAATATTTTGGGGTTTTTTTTTACGAAAAATGAGACTGGTCTGTCATCAAATACTGTACAACAAAAGAAACTGAGACAGTGAAACCAGAGAAAAGCTCAATTTGGTGGAGCCCTCCCGGCCATGGTGTCTCATCTTACAACGCATGATAAAACGCAAGATGAGACAGCTCAGTTCGTTCAGGAGAAAAACAACAGGGCTGCTCTCATGACAAAAACGACTTTCAGCCTAATGCCGACTTCTATTTATAAGAGTTCATTCATCAATCATTTGGATTTTTTTTTTCACGGCTGGGCCATCAAAATGTCTTGAAATGAAACTGGTTAATTGCGAACACCCCCCACCCCTCAAAAAAAAAAAAACATGTCAATGACGCCATCAGTGAAAAGATTTCCATCACCTGACAACTTCGCTACAAGTATTCTTCAGCTGCTGAACTCTGACAAACATACACACATCATAGGCCGTTGGCAGCATGGCTCAACCCCAAAAAATGAAAAAAAAAAAAAAAAAAGATATATATTTGCACACACACGCACACACACAGTCCGTGACTGTCCCAAAACGACAAATTTTTCAAGCTGCTAAAAATAGAAAATCTTTTTTCGGTCCCAGAGTGCTGGAAAACCTTCCACAGACACACAGCAGAGGGGCCCCAACCAGACCCATAAACATCTTAATATTTAAAGAGCACTTTGCTAAATCCAATTCAAACACGTCCAATAAACAAAATATGTTGACTCGGCCAAGCTGAGTCACAGATCCGCTCAAGTGAGCACGCGTGTCATCAGTCCAGGAAAACAACACATCCAGCATTGCCATCACGTGCGGCGTCACGTTCGGTGACTCATATAAATAAAGACATAAAGAAGGGCGCAACTCACCGCTGCTCCACCACTTCTTTCCGTTGATGATAAACTGGTCCTCCTCTCGGTGGAGACTGCAGGCCATGTTGGTCGCGTCGCTGGACGCCACGTCGGGCTCTGGGGAACCGCAACTCAGTTTGAGCTTCGCAAGTGTCAAGTTAATGAACATATTTGAACAATGCAGTGAAGGCAATTTTAAAGATAAATAAGGCCTTCATTCCAAAAAAAAAAAAAGAAAAAAAAAAAGAAAAAAATCTTTTCTTCAATTTAAGGACAGTAAAGGAAGGTCCTTTCAGAGTGCTTTTGTAATAATATTGGAAGCTTAAAAACGGTGGCTATTTTTTTTCTCACTTTCATTGTGTGCCTTCTGGTTGTTTTGCAGTAAAAGAGACTCCTTACGGTCATTACGTCTCAGACACGTTGTCCTGACACCGTGTTCTTGAAAATCAGCAAAACATCCAGCAAAACGATACACAGTAATGACGTGTATGGAAAAGCCCTGGGGGCGTTGGGGGTTCACGCCCGCTCTGATTACCTCGAGCCAGCAGCTGTTTTCACGCAGCATAGCAACCGAATGGGACGGGAACACTGGGAGAAACTACTCAGGAACGCTCGGCAGAGAACCACCCCAAAGATTTTCAGAAATAAAACTCCGCCAAAAAGAGCATTCGCTTCTCCTGCCGACATGTAGCCCTCGAATGAACAAACGCGGCACTCGTCCGTCACGCGAAGAGCGTCAAGTCACCTGTCATGCAGAAACACGAGCGCATCTCTCCTCTGAGCAGAGGCTCCAGCCACATCTTCTTTTGTTCCTCGCTGCCAAACATGTGCAGCACCTCCATGTTGCCCGTGTCTGTTGAGAGGAAAAGTCAAGTGTCGCATATTCAGAGCACACGTCCAAAGTGGCCGCCATTTTTCAATCAACATGCTAAATTGTCCTGGTGTGAATGGTTGTTTGTCTAAAGGGGGTCAGCTTCGGTTCATCGTGTCGACAAGTACTATGTAAAATGGATGGATGGTTTGCTTTTGGACGAGCCCTGGAAATGAACCTTCAAATGACACACTTCCTGTGTCTATTCAGCCCATTCATCCAAGTGGGACTCTGCATCCGCTTAAAGAAAACATATCGATCAGTTTTGGTGAACATCCTGATGTCGGTAGTGTCGATGGGGTGTGAAAGCGTGCAGGATGTTTACCCGGCGCCTGGCAGTTAAAGACTTCCGGAGCAAAGAGGCAGCGTCCGGTCTCCTCGGCGATGTAAGCATAGTCCAACTGAGTTAGGCCGCTCGCCGCCGGCAGGAAGAGGTTCCATAATCCTGCTTCTCGAGCTTTCACCTGACCACACAAATACATACGCGCTATTCCGCTGTGGTGCTCTGAAGTTGGACTTCAGAGAACCCAAAACGTTTAAGCCCCCTTCAGACCTACCTTTAGATCGTCTATTATTTGGGGGGTGTTCCATCTCAGGGGCGAGTGAGCGTATTTGATGTAGTACTCCGTGACTTCCTGCATATTCAAACATGTCGTGAAACTCTTCTACTTTCTTTCCTTTCATCAAGCACAAAAGAGAGACAGCGATGGTGGCGGGCCAAAGGTGATGACTGGGCACGTTGTATTATATGTGAAATCAATGGAGGGCTTGTTCTCTCGCCCAAAGAATCTGTGCAAATCAACTAACAAGGTCCAAAGGTTCAATGGGAAAAGAGGGGGGCCCAAACAATGGGCAAACTGTCTCGGCACTGACCTTCTGCACAGGAAGCACGTGTTGTCTCATGAAGTCCTTCACCTGCCGGAGCACCGCCCGGCCCTTGGCCGTCTGCAGAAAGAGCCCGGCTTCCTGCTTAGCCGCCGGAGGCCTGCGTGCAGGGGGAGACGAGCGAGACACAAGTCAGCCGTCACAAGCGGAAGCGGCAGCAGCTGGATACGGAATTCCAAACATGCGATGCCAATGTTTACTGGCAAAATCTTTCAGCGGCAAGTGGAATGAATCGGATTTCTTTAATACACGACCGTACCAGACAATCATTTGTGGTGGTGTCGAGGGGAAACGAGAGACGACGGAATTCCAAACATGCGATGCCAATGTTTACTGGCAAAATCTTTCAGCGGCAAGTGGAACGAATCGGATTTCTTTAATACAAGACCGTACCAGACAATCATTTGCGGTGGTGTCAAGGGGAAACGTGTTAACACTTAAGTAAACGAGAGACGGGAATAGAGCAATAACAAACCTCTGCGCCAGCTGCAGGGCGAGCACAGCCAAGGGCTCGACGCACTGTCCTAACTCGGCAGCATTTGGAGCGCTGGCGTTGCCCAGTAGGTGGCGTGCATGAACACCCTTGACGGAGAGAAAAAACAAAACAAAAGAGAATGAGAGACATGACAGAATGAATGCAGGGACTTCATTTGGAGGGGGGAATACAGATTTTACAACCCCCTGCGCCAGCTGCAGGGCGAGCACAGCCAATGGCTCGACGCACTGGCCTAACTCGGCGGCATTTGGAGCGCTGGCGTTGCCCAGGAGGTGGCGTGCATGAACACCCTTGACGGAGAGAAAAAAAACCCCAAAAGAGAATGAGAGATATGACAGAATGGATGCAGGGACTTCATTTGGAGGGGGGAATACAGATTTTTTGACACTTGGGACTCATTAAACGCTTTGATGCCCACACAAAACTGACCGAGACTTGTGGAAAAAAAAAAGTTACTTTTACATCCATATATCATAAAATGTACAGGAACGTGTTTTCCCCATCCAGAAGTCTTTGTAGAGTTATCTTTAAATTCACAACTGACCGAGACTTGTGGAAAAAAAAAAGTTACTTTTACATTCATATGTCATAAAATGTACAGCAAGGTGTTTTCCCCATCCAGAAGTCTTTGTGGAGTTATCTTTAAATTCACGAATTCAAGGTGAATGAATGAGAAACGCCACGCAGTCAGAGAATTCTTGCTAATCTCAGCCTCATTTATAAGTTTCCCATACAAGCCAGAGCCACCAATACCTGAGCGATTCCTGCCATCTTGAACAAGGAGAGCGCCAAGTAGAAATTTAAGCTCGGCAAAGTGGACGGGATCCCACGGCAGCGTCTGTAAACGGAAATCAGGTCGTCCACTGTGGGAATACCTGCTCAAGGACACACGCACGCACACACGCACAGAAACATTTCATAAGCTGGCCTTTTGTTTTTATTTCAATATTGAGCTTTGTCTTAGTTCACGGCGGGCAGAGTGCTCATCAACCACGCGGAGAGCTCATTCATGGCAGGGATGTCTCTGTGGGATGACGCCGTGTACTGTTTGGTCCATGTGGACACCTTGAAGAAAAGACATACCACAATTTTTATTCAAGAGGTCATCATATTGTAAATTGACTTCTTTTGAATTGCTTGTATACAAACAAACTGGGTCTCTTTTTTTTAGTGAATAGCTGAAAATAGCATCCACAGGGAGAAAAAAAAAGACAAGAATTTGTGAATAGTGATCTTGAATCACCTGTCTCCTACAGTATCCTATTCCTTTTCCATAACCATCCAGCTTTAGTGATGCCAGGTCCAATGAATGCAGTTTGGCCAAAACTTCCACTGCTGCCACGTACAGAGCCGCCCTCTCTGCCGGGATCACTCCGGGCAGACGAAGGTCCCAAAATATGCGTCCCTGCTCAATTATCGCGTCCATTAGCTAATTTATTAGTTTACATTTCAGAAGTGTTGCATACCTTTGCAAACTCACCACAATGTGCTCCATCAGGTAGAATTCTGTTCCGATGACGTCGATGTCGGTACAGTGCAGGAGGGGCCGAGGCACAGGGAATCCAGAGGAATGCAAGGCCTTCTGAACACGATATTCCCTGTCCACCTGAGAACAAAACCACTTACTATGAATATAGATTTATTTTGATACTCTGTATTTCTGTTGAAACATTCTATTTTTTAATTTGTCTCATGTAGTATTCTAATTTCCTGAGACAGTAAATTTGGGGTTTTCTTTTTTTTTTGCAAACTGTAACCATCAACTTTTTTTTTTTAATTAAGGTTTAAAAACGTTCACTCTGTAATGATTGATGGATCCGTGTGTCAAATAGGTTTAACTGAGTGACAAAAAAAATGTAATTTCTCATGACAGGCTACTCAGTTTTTTCGTTATGTAGGAACATGTCAACAAAATTACAATGCAAAATTTATTTTCATTAAATGGAATGGAGGTCCAATGGTTTTGAAGTTTGAAAAGAATTAATGACAGTCCTGCTGCACAAGTATTATTATTCCTACAAACAATTTATGACATAAAGCGCAGTAACCTATGTCGTGATTTTATTCGTAAATTTCTACCTTGTGGGCACCTGGTAACAACGCACCAGGTGGCTTCTTCCTCAAAACATAACTTTTGGAAGGTGTCTGAATCAGGAAAGTTGGATTGGACTGCCCCGCACTGGAAAGGCGATTAGCATGTTAGCTCAAGAAAGTTGTCAACTTAATTGTGACCCAAACGACAAACTCACCTGTACTGTCTGACAACGAGCGTGTCGTCGTTTGACACGAACGACTTCGCAGACAGATACTCTTTAAGTCTATCCTCGTCGAATTGATGCTGCGGTCGTACCGGAGTCGTCCTTTCGCCCATGTTTTAGTCTTTAAATTATTAGAAAGTGGATTAATTATTTTCTAGAAGTTGCTCGTCAACAAGCTCGCTGGCTTGGTCGGGTGATTTGCTGCGCCGCACATTCGACTCAAACACACAAACTGGGGGGAAAAATGTTTTTAAAAATAGTTTATACTCAAAGTAATAATTGAAGATTAATGTAGTTTTATTTCCAACAAAATAGATAAATACGCGTCATGTGTTGTGGCAAGTTAGGCAGGATCTGTTTTGGTCACTGTATTTCCGCACGAACTTGATATGCTGTAACACACATCCTGACAGCTGATTGGACTTGTGAAGACGTGTACTTTACCGGGTCGATTGTTGTCGTCTGGGTGTTACGTTATTACATGTATGTACATCCATTTTTTGGTTTTTAATTGTTAGCTTTTGGGAGCCCTTATGGCAACGATGGAGGAACTGAAGCTCCGCGTGAGGGAGTTGGAGAACGAACTGATCAAGTGTAAGCAAAAGCAATGCGCCACCGAGCAGCTCCACCGACCCAAAATTGAAAAGATGAGCGCAGAAGTTGTGGATTCCAACCCTTATAGGTAATGTTTCATTTTTATACGAATTTTAAATGTGCTTTGGAGGTGCCGCGCCCTTTGGGAGACTGGTGACTCATTCAAGCTTTTTTTTTTTTTTTAACTCGTCCTTGCAGTCGCCTGATGGCTCTGAAGAGAATGGGTATCGTTGATAATTACGAGGTTAGCAATTGCTACCCTTGGACATCCCGTTCAAAATTCGGAACGTTTTGTTAAAATATTGTTGTCCAATGTGTGTGACAGAGCATCCGGACGTTCACTGTCGCCGTGGTGGGCGTCGGGGGAGTGGGCAGCGTGACGGCCGAAATGCTCACCAGGTGTGGCATCGGTAAGGTAATAATGCAAAGCTCTTTTCCTATTATGAGTTGATCAGATTATTAGGTATAACTGCACTGTGCAAAAAAAAAATAACTATTTTTACTGTATTCGGTGAAACAACAATTTTGTTCCCAATAAAATGAAAAAGAGTCACTGATGGTGTAGTGGTGGTACAGTACAAATTGATGCAAATTTACAAATTCATTACTTTTATCCATAAAACATGAGCCATCATAATCACATTTATAATCACATTTAACTTTTTCCTGGTTCAGAATATTAAACTTTTAGAGATAATATAAAATACGGATAGGTGTTACAGTAGCAATTTACACTAAAGAGTGACATTATTGATTCCACTACACTACACGGACATTAAAAAAAATATTAAATATATGGTAATAAGACGTGTAGTGGTGGTACAGTACAAATTGATGCAAATTTTCTAATTCATAACTTTTATCCAGAAAACATGAGCTATCATAATCACATTTATAATCACATTTAATTTTTTCCTGGTTCAGAATATTCAACTTTTGGAGATAATATAAAATATGCATAGGTTACAGTAGCAATTTACACTAAAGAGTGACATGATTGATTCCACTATACTACACGGACATTAAAAAAAAATTAAATATATGGTAATAAGATAATCAGTTCTCACCAAATCTAGATTTTCTAATGTCTTCCAGTACTCTGTAGTTGGAGACTCTAGTTGCTCTATTTTTGATACAAGATAGTGCAGGTTTTTCTAATGTCTTCCAGTACTCTGTAGTTGGAGAGACTCTAGTTGCTCCACCTAGTCAGTTATTGATACAAGATGGTGCAGGTGTACCTAATGTTGTGTCCACATCTTCCCAGCTGCTGCTGTTCGACTACGACAAGGTGGAGCTGGCCAACATGAACCGACTCTTCTTCCAGCCTCACCAGGCCGGCCTCAGCAAAGTGGAGGCTGCTGAACACACACTCAGGTACCACATATTAATGACATATTCAAGAAAGTAATCATCAGAATAAAAACTTGCAGTTTTTTTTTTTCTTACCTGTTCTTGACTGCACCCTGATCCAGAAACATCAATCCAGACGTGTCGTTTGAGACACACAACTACAACATCACCACCTTGGACAATTTCAACCACTTCATGGAGCGTCTCAGGTGACTTTTTCTTCGCGGTCTCTCCTCCGCGCTTGTGGAAGCGTCTTGACTTCTCTTGTCTTCAAAGTCACGGCGGCCTGGAGGACGACAAGCCCGTGGATTTAGTCCTGAGCTGCGTGGACAACTTCGAGGCCCGCATGGCCATCAATACAGTGAGGAGTGCCCAGCAAAACATTTTTTGGGGGTGGCTTTTGTGGGTGTGATTGTGGAACTCTCCTCTTTGTGAAGGCTTGTAACGAATTGGGTCAGACCTGGATGGAGTCCGGAGTCAGCGAGAACGCCGTGTCGGGACACATACAGCTCATCAACCCGGGAGAGACGGCATGCTTTGCTGTAAAGAACACACAAACAGATACACACACCTTTTCCCGGGAGCCCAACAGCTACATAACTGCAATTGTTGATACGAAGTCAGTATTTGATTTGTGTGATTGCGCAGTGCGCTCCCCCTCTGGTGGTGGCAGCCAACATTGATGAGAAGACCCTCAAGAGGGAGGGCGTGTGCGCTGCCAGCTTGCCCACCACTATGGGCGTCGTCGCTGGCATCCTGGTCCAAAATGTCTTAAAGTAAATTCCATACACAGCTGCACCAAAAATCCGTTTTTTCCCCAACTTCTGTCACAACAGAAAACTAGCAAATTATGTAGTATCAGCATACACTGTCATTCATTTGTTACAAAGGAGAGAAAATTACTAGAAAAGCTATTCGAGGGGGTAAAGTTATTACAAGAATTTTCGTAAATATTTGTCGGAATTTAAAAAAAAAAAATACTTGAAAAATTTCATTCTTCATTGGAAACAGTTTTTTTTTAAAATTCTAAAACAAATACCGGTATATTTAGTTTTTTTCCACTTGAAAAAGCAAAATAAAGTATTTTTCTAGGTACTTGCACTGCACAGACCCAAAGTTCATTAATTAAATTTTCTTTAATTCTATTTTTAATGGGAATTTGGGTTTTTTTGCCTTCAGTATTTTTTTAAGTCTTATTTTAGAATTTGTTTTATTCTCAAGCTTATTTTCTGTTGAAAACATGCAACTTTTTTCCAAAATTATTTTCAAATTTGGGCTATTTGCCTTTTTATAGCAAAATGTCAAGAATATAGAATTTGGAGTAACTACATCAAAATGTGATTTTTGTTTTCTATGCACTTGTTTTTGCTCCTCGTTTTACTTGCCAATTTGATTTCACTATTGCACTCACTAGTTTGAGGATCTAGGCATGGATTTTTGTCGCTAAAACGGGACTTTGTCGGTGTCGCAGATATCTGTTGAAGTTCGGGCGCGTCAGTTATTACCTGGGCTACAACGCCATGCAGGACTTCTTCCCCAGCATGGCCATGAAGCCCAACCCGCAGTGCAACGACCGCCACTGCCGGAGACAGCAAGAAGTCTACAAGGTGAAGTTCATCTCACTGCACTGATATTGATGCTGGATTTACACTGCATGTGCCCAATTCTATTTCAGTACCTATAACCGTTTTTTTTTGTTGTTTTTTTTTTTTTGGGTGTACACTTCAAGTGACACACATCCAAACACAGGAAACAACCACTTATGCACAGATGTCCACATAACGTTTTTTTTTTTTTGTTGTTTTTTTTTGGGGAGAGACTTGAATGTTATTATTTGTATTATATTATCAGCAAATGGGTGAAAAAATTTTAAATCCAATATCAGTCAGGCCATACTTTTGTGTAAATAGAAATATTGTGTAGCCTAATTGCACCACTTGAGAGCAAAAAATTAAAAAATCTGAATTGTCACTTGAACCACGCAATCCAAATCCATCTTAAATCAAGCCGCAGCATTGCGGGTGGGCTAACATGGCACCCTGCTTGCAAATGTGTCCCCCCGACAGGCGCAGGAAGCGGAGCGACCAAAGAATGAGGTGATCCAGGTCGAGGAAGAGGAGGTGCTGCACGAGGACAACGAATGGGGGATTGAACTGGTATCAGAGGAGGCCAACGAAGAGACGCAGGCTGCGGCGGCTGCCGTTGCCGACCTCCCTGAAGGCATCACCGTGGCGTACACCATCCCAATGGCGGTCAGTTCCCACCCAACGATTACCGATGGGGTTAGAAATGTTGTCACTTTCTGATTTTGTTTTTCGTCGTAAACAGAATAAGGGTGACGGGGAGATGGTGGAAGAGACGGAACAGAGCCTGGAGGACCTGATGGCTCAAATGAGAAAGTTATAGGCTGCGCGGTAGGCAAATTAAAAGAAAAATACTGGATTTATCATGGCATACGTTGGATGACATCCCATGACTGACCGTGAATAAAGACAACAAAAAAAGAAGGTGAATGCATGACATAAGGTCACAATGCTTCATAATATTGTTAACATCTCAATAAAGTATTTATTAGCAGGAATACATGTGGAATATTGAATGCCTTGAACACATTATATTGCAATACATAAAAACACAAACACACTGTTTACAAAGTTACACAGTATAGTATTGCACTGCATTTGGACCATTCAACAATTTTGTTATGTTAGGCCACTTTATGAAACCACCTGCATCATGAAGTGCTTTAATGCAGACTCATTCAACTTCAGTGAGCTCTTTGTGTTCGAAGAGTGAGCACATATTAACCAGAATATCCCTTTTTTTCCACCCAAATATGAGCAGGAATGCAAGTGAATAACTAGAATTTCACATCTTAAGGAATTGCACTATTTTTTCTTTTTCTTTTTTTTTGGAGAAAACAGTCAATGATATTTTAGCAGTCAAAATACATTTGGGTCAAAGATAGATACTGATAGGTTAACCGTGACAGAAACATAATACTTGTTGGGTCATTATCAATGCTGTAGTATAAACCTTACATTGGGACCTGGTTTTGGACACTTACTAACCATTGTAAAGCAAATGGGACAATAGATGAATCATATTAAAAATGGTTGCGGTAACAATTATTCAAGGGACTCCATATATTGAATACTATTTGGACAAGTCACATCTTTCACAATTTAGTTAACACTGATTATTCATATCCTACCACGGGGTCGGCAACACGTGGCTCCAGAGCCGCATGCGGCTCTTTAGCGACATCTAGTGGCTCACTGGAGCTTTATAAAAAATGTTTGAAAATGGAAAAAGATTTTGATAGTAGGCTAATATAGCTGAAATAGATGTAGATACATGTTGCAGCTCCGAAAAAGGAGAGCTGTGGTGTTGGTTTTTTAAAAAGTACACTTTATTTATGCTTTTAACAGTCTCGACAAACACAGTGAGCACATTTTAACCAGAATATCCCTTTTTTTTCCACCCAAATATGAGCAGGAATGCAAGTGAATAACTAGAATTTCACATCTTAAGAAATTGCACTATTTTTTCTTTTTCTTTCTTTTTTTTTTTTTGGAGAAAACAGTCAATGATATTTTAGCAGTCAAAATACATTTGGGTCAAAGATAGATACTGATAGGTTAACCGTGACAGAAACATAATACTTGTTGGGTCATTATCAATGCTGTAGTATAAACCTTACATTGGGACCTGGTTTTGGACACTTACTAACCATTGTAAAGCAAATGGGACAATAGATGAATCATATTAAAAATGGTTGCGGTAACAATTATTCAAGGGACTCCATATATTGAATACTATTTGGCCAAGTCACATCTTTCACAATTTAGTTAACACTGATTATTCATATCCTACCACGGGGGTCGGCAACACGTGGCTCCAGAGCTGCATGCGGCTCTTTAGCGACATCTAGTGGCTCACTGGAGCTTTATAAAAAATGTTTGAAAATGGAAAAAGATTTTGATAGTAGGCTAATATAGCTGAAATAGATGTAGATACATGTTGCAGCTCCGAAAAAGGAGAGCTGTGGTGTTGGTTTTTTAAAACGTACACTTTATTTATGCTTTTAACAGTCTCGACAAACAGACACGTCTGCGTCCGACTCCGTGCCTTCTCTCTTCTCGTTCGACTCGAGAGGTGTTCAAAGACAGCTTCATAAAAACGGAAATTAATGATCACTTCACCGACACTAGGAAAAGTGAAAATAATGAACCAAAACAAAAAATCAAGCTAGGAAATTACTAAATAAATTCTATGGGGGTGTTTGTGAACACACAACAAAGGATTGAATAAACAATTCTGAGACAGTCCAGTCTCCTACATACATACAGCATGTTTCCTTAATTGTAAGTTTTATAGAAGGCTTTTATTTTTTTGCGGCTCCAGACATATTTGGTTTTGTTTTTTTTTGTCCTATATGGCTCTTTCAACATTTTGGGTTGCCGACCCCTGTCCTACCATTTCCCGAAGTAAATAGAAAATGTATTCACGATTCCGAATGACAAAAGGCTCTGTGTGCAAATCCACTTTCCCCAAGTGGCAGCGTACCTGTGCGGAGGGGTGACGGGGTCACCTGGGGCCGTGAGGGAGGGGGGCAGGTCCCCGCAGGCTGAACGTGTCGGCGCTGGACGAGTGGCGCGACGGCGCGTTGCCGCACGCCACCGACGGCTCCGCCTCCTTGATCTCCATGGCGCGCTTGTACAGCTCGGCCGCCGTCTCGAAGTCGCCCTCCTCGTAGCTGCAAAAATGGAGAATGTCAGGCCAAGAGCTAAGATGGCAGACGTTCACCCGAGTAGTACCAGCTGCCACGCGAAGCACCGCACCTCTTCTGTCTCCGATGCAAGTAGACCGCTACTTTTGAGTTGCGCTAAGTCTACTGTTGTGTAACTGGGGAAGTAAATTCCTAGTGTGTTTCACACACTTGGCTGATAAATGTGATTCTGATTGTTATGACTGCTTGGTGGAGGTAATAAAGTGTTTTTGGGGTTGCGTACCTGAGCACCGCCAGGTTCTTGAGAGTCTCCCCGACGCGCGGATGCGAGCGTCCCAGGCTATCTTCGTACACTTTGAGCGCTCGTTCGTAGAGGGGCAAGGCTTCGCCGTGTTTCTTCTGATAAATATACACAAGCACAGCATCACGTGACCATGTAAAAATATATATTTTATACATCTGTGTGTGTTTATTTAGGAGAGCAAAAATCAGCGGTCACCAGCTGACAGTAGATGACCGCCAAGTTAACCAGTGCCGTCGCTACGCTGGGATGTTTAGGCCCAAAACTCTTTTCCCGGATGTCCAGTGAGAGCTCGTAGAGGGGCACCGCCTTCTCCAGCTTCCCCTGCATATACAGTACACATATAGATTTCTATGTATCAATTATTTAGTCAATCACTTCAACATTTTGTAGAGCTACTAAGTGGCACCGCCTCCTAATTTCTTTCTGCTATTTGAGGTGAGGCTTTTATTTATTTTTTTTCTAAGTGACGATCTTTTTAAAAAAAGAGGCTACCTTTTCAGGCTATTCTGTAGACACTGCGAATAGTTCATTGACCTAAAATCATGGCGTGCCAGGTTTTTCGTTTGTCGTACAATGAAGTATTTAGTTGAGTGCTTTAATTGTACATATGCTTGTGGAGGGATGGTGAGTAATGAATGTAATTCCAGCACCCATTGTTATTTTTCCCTGATGTGTTAGGAGGTCAGGCATTTATTTATTTTTCAACTGACGATTATTTGAGGCATTTTTATATTAATTTGCTTCAGGGCCTGATTCATGAAAGATTAATGAATGAATGTTTACACCTCACCCTGCGCTTATAGAGCATGGCCAGGTGTTTGAGCGTGTAGGCAAGCGAGGGGTGGTCCGGCGAGAGGCCCCTCTTACGGATGTCAAGCGCCCTCTCGTACATATCCTCGGCCGCCTCGTAGTCCCGCCTCTCTGTGTGCAGTGCCGCCAAATTGTTGAGGGACTGCGCGCAGTCGGGGTGGTCCGGGCCCAGGACGCGCTGGCGCATCTCGAGCGAGCGTGTCAAGAACACCTTGGCCGCACTGGTCAGAACATGCAAAGTAGACGTGATGCGGCGGAAGGTCCTAGAAGGGTCTTGAAGGCGGGTGAAACTTACTCCAGGTTGTTCTGGAGGTAGTAGAGCACACCCAGTTCGTTCAGGGTCCGGGCGCAGTCGGCGGAATCGGTCCCAAGGGTGAGCTCTTCAAGCTGGACGGCCCGGCGACGCAACAGAGTGAAGCCATACTGCAGCGCGGAGAACACAGGCAGATAACTCACCAGCCGCAACATTAGGCACAGCTTCCTTGGCTGCTCTAATAATAAACTGATTAAACTAATACGTCTGATGGTGTAAATCAAAACCAAGCATTATTTTCAGAAACTTAAGAATTTGGACAGGTGTACATGGGGCTGCCAGTGCTCATGAGGACATTTTTTTTACTACTGTTAAGTATACTTTATAAAGTCCTTTACAACCATCCGTTTTCAAAGCAGATCTCCTCATATTGGCAGAAGTTTTAGAGCATTTGCGCTCATCTTTCGAGACTCACAGAAGATTGTGTTCAGTGACAATTTAATCTCTGCACCTACTGACAGAGCGGAGACACTCCTCCGTAACAAAAAAAAAAAAAAAACAAAAAAAAAAACCCCCAGCACAAAATGTGTAATAAGTATCTGGGTGTTGGTATTATATGTCCACCTATTTTTTTCCGGTGGAAATTTAGTCTTTTTTTTTCATTACTTGTCAACTGTATTTTTAACACGTTGACATTTGATCAATTCGAACAATTTCCATATTGTTGTTGGACTTCTTTTTCATCATGGCATATATTTTACTATCATTTACCCAGGAGATAATGTTCATATTTTAATTAACTTTTGCATTACAATTGTCACAGGTTGTATACTGAGGGTCCTGAAAGCTGCCTATTAATAAAATGATGCTGTGGTTGATGCAGTTGCTACTACTACAGCAGTACTTCTATATTCACCATATGGCCTTTCTGGCGAGCCGTTTTCTGCCTGATCTTCATTGACCTCTTCCTGAGTTTCTCCGCCTGTTCATACCTAATCGAGATAATGATAAAAGTCGATTGCTCATCTGGATCAGTGATGCAGGCAGCATTATAATCGCCACTCACGACACCAGCGTACTTGTTTTGTTTCTGGTAGAGTACGGCAAGGGACTCCAGCTCTCGTGCCACGCTGCCGTGCTCGGCCCCGTAGGCGTTCTCGCTGATCTCCAGCGCCTGCTTGTACAGCTGCTCGGCATTGCTGTACTTCTTCCACTGGACGTAGACGGCGGCTAGCTGATGCAGGGAGCGCGCCACGCTGGGATGGTCAGGGTCCAGGGCGGTCTCTCGGATCTCGAGTGACCGCTGCAGAGGGGCTACGGCCTAGCAGGGAACAAACAAAGAACGAGGTGGATTATACACTTCTCACAATTAGGGATATGTATCATTTCAGGATGAAACTAAACTTAAAAAAAAAAAAAAAGTGTTGTGACAATTAAAATCCTGGCCCCCACCTGACTGGACAAGCCCAAGTCTTTGAGGAAACGTCCCAACGTCTCGTACAGGTTGGCCAGCTTGGTCATGCTGTCCTCACTCTCGCAGTTCTTCTCGTAGTGCTTCAGCGAGTCAAAGTACTCGGTGGCCATGGAGCTTTTATCCTTGCCCACAAACTGCCAATAGGCGAGCAGCTCGGAGAAATGACCCCTGAAGATCAAATTAGAATTTTTGGCAAAGCAGGGCTAGTGGCAGCTTGTTCGTGCGATCCATTTTAAAGAATCGAATACTACCAGGAGGTTACTCTCCTGACTTTACAGTACATTCGGACTTTATTTCCGATCAGCTCTTCGTCATTCCTGCGCACTCTCCATAGAAAGGTCAATCTTTAGTTCTTATTATTATTGCGATTTCAATGCCTCAGTAGGTAGGAATTCTATTTAAGGTCTGTGTGTGACAAAACATCAATCCAAAAGGATGTGGAAAGTGCAGTTTTATTTTTCTTAAAAACTGACTGACAGCCCTCAACATTAAACTCAGCAATTAATTAAAACTAAATACATTCACACTGTACGCCAACTGTGCTTTAAGGATAATAACCACTCAGCCCCGCACATGACGATGGTTGTGTATGCATTGTTGCATTGCATGGCGAGGTGTGTGGACTCCCGATTCTGTATTGGAACCGTAACAGGTCACGTGACTGATATCGTTCTCATTTCGATATTCATACCTGTATCTTGACTGTTCATATCTCCATTTCAATACAATAAAAGATATATTGCCCAGCCGATTTTAAAGCAACATTTTTTTGAAGTGAGTTTCAGTAAGTTTTTATATGGTACCTATTTTGCTGATTTTCTGGAATTGCGGGTGGGTCTGGAACATATAACTCGTGCCCGGTCACTATTTTAGGAATTACGGGTAGCTTATGACAGTACGCGGACACACAAACCTCTTGTACAGGTTCTGGGAGACAAACAGGTTCAAAAGGCTCAATTGCAGTTTGGTGCGGTCCTCCTGCTGCTGGAGCAACCAAGGCAGCTCGTCGGCGACGCGCCACGTCACGTGATCATGACTATCAGAAACACACATCCAATAAAGGGAGTGAAATTCACACAAAAAGAGAGAATGGAGGGTTTGGGCGAGAGCAAAGATGGCCGTCCGGATGCCACCTGAGTTGCTGGCTGAAGTAGTGGATCAGCTTCTCTCTGTATGTAGTGCAACCACAACCTGTGCTCAGAAACTCCAATCTCACCGCTTCCCACGCCTGGTAACACAAAAGTCAAGATTTTTTTTTTTCTGACCAAAGTGGATTGTAAATAACACAATGTTGACAAAAATGGAATCATCCGAACAGAAATGCATTCTCGAGTGACTAAATGTTGGCCATGGAAGAACATTCCATTTCTAAATTTCAAGCTTCATTTACTTTTGTAGTAAGTTTCCAGTAAGTATCCATTTGTTGTATTAATTTTTTAGGACTGCCCATGTGGACCCAAAAAAAAAAAAATTAAAAAAATAGGTACCTGCAGATGTTGGAATCTGATGAGTCCGCAGTGGAGGGTGACCACGCAGAGTCTACTCAGACAAAAGAGCATTGACGCCAGCGCTGGAAATTCCAACTCTGGGAGAAGATCGAGAACCTCGGACTCACTCACTCCATTGTGACTGGAGTACAGCAGGCAGAGTATCTGCACACAAGATGAAAACAAAAGTCATGTTAAGCAGTGAGCGTTGATGTTTTTGAGTTATTCGATTTTTTTTGTCTTCATGGCAGCCTTATTCCATACTCCCAAGTAGACCACCTCTCTCATGATGTGTCGCTCTCTGTCCGAGCCGAGGGAGTCCAGCGTCATTTTGAGCGCCAGGCGGTAGAGTGACAAGGTGTCCTGACACTGCAGGCACTGCTCGAGGCTCTTCTCCAATGACCATCCTCCACTACACATTAAAAAAAAAAAAAAAAATAATAATAATGATTTTTTAAAAATCGTGTTTGATTGGTAGCCTGATTGTTCTCCAAATACTGAATAAAAAAAAATAAATTGAGAACCTAGTGCTCATCCTTGCGAGCAGTGTGACGTATAAAGCACTGCAAGTCGATGCTGATCGGCAGTGCTTCTCCAACTTCTTCTCCTGGAGAATACATACTTGAGTCACTCCCACAGCACTGAGATGGACACACGTAGCAGTGAGGAGCTCCTACCTGATCTTTGGTGAGCTGGAGGTCCGAGCTTAGGCACTCTGCATTCACCACACTCCTGACCTCCCTGGGACTCAGCGGGTCCAAGTGGAGAGTGGGCCACAACCTGGAGAGAGCGTATTATGTGCTTCTTAAAAATGCCAAAAAAACAAAACAAAAATGTCTGTTTATTTTCCAGATGGCTGTTCTGTACAAATTGTTGCTGAATCTTTTATTTCCTGAAAATAAGCATTTTCAAGTTTATAGGGACACCATGTGTAGACAGACAGGCACCGCCAAATTACGTTTTTTTGCATAAGTGTCATGAAAATGTTATGGATATGCCATTAAATATTAAATTAGTATTTGTTATGAACTGAAATGCATATAAATGTGTTCTCTCCTTTTTTTCTAGTCAACAGACGGCTGCCGTGTGTGACGTGTAGGACCGACCGCCACGCTTGAGGACACGTCTCCACGTTGACAGACACGACCACTCTGACGTTGACGGGCAGCGGGTCGATCAGCCACTTCATGTGTCTTTCTGCTTGCTGGGGAAGGAAGATAAGGCGCATGTTATCATTCTGAACTGAAATCACACGCTCAAAGCTGACGTGAGACCTGGATTTGGTCAATCGAGTCTATGATGATGATGATGTTGCCCTGGTGGCGCGCCGAGAGCCTCTCGAGCCAGCGTGGAAACTCCTCCAGGATCTTGCTGGGCTCCATGGACAAGCCCGAAATGGACCAGAAATGTTGCAGCAGCTACGGCACAAACTCACTTGTGAGGTTTTGAATTTGGGAGATAAAACTAGGCAGGAAGTGATATCTTACTTTAACCGTGAGGCGCTTGATGATGAGGACAGGCTCAGAGCTGGAGGACAAAGGTCGCCCGACGAAATGGGAGAGGAACAAGGTGTTGGGGGACTGCTTCTGCTGCAGTTCGATCCTACAGAGGACAACAAATGCTCACGCTGCTTTTCCACATGGCGGGAAATGTATCAAATTGAGAAAAATGTGAGTTTTTTTCTTACCATTTGGCAAGGAGAAGGGACTTTCCCGAGCCCGGACCGCCTGACACCAGCAGAGGTGGCGTCGGAGGAGGGGTGGCGATCATGTCGTTGAGCCGGTCCACGTACTGAAGCGAACACCACATGTCGATTCAGCCTGAGGTGATCGAGAGGAACTACGAAAGAAAGAAGCTCAACCTTTTGGAAGCCCAGCTGCGAGCTGGTGCTTCCGCACGCCTGCTGGTAGGACTCCATCTGCTCCTGCTCGTCGTGAAGGTCCCACAGGACGTCGCCCGAGTCTTCCTCGCGACCCTCCTCAATGGCGGAGTCCTTCGGGTCCACGTCCGCTCCTTCGAAACCGAGCAACTCCTACAGCAGTAAAAAAAAAAAGGGTGACCTTAAAACTAGACGGGAATATTGCATGAATTGAACGTATGCATTCACGCATAGGAGGGACCTGTTTGATGATTTTCTCCAGCTGAGCAGAAATGAGGCTGGCTCCATCTTCAGCAGAACCGCTATGGTCCAAGACCTGGTCACATGTGCAACACATTTACCCCCACTCAACCAAAAATTGTCATGGTTCTGCATACTGCACCTTTATTTTAGCAGCCTTGTCCGCAGCGTTGACCCTTTCCAGAAGCTTCCTGGTGGGCCCGGACAAGTTGCCATCTCCTTCCGTCCTGAGGTAGAGCACTAATGGATGTCCATCTGGATTCTTCACAAAAGCCTCCTCGCAATCCTCCACGACCGAGCTGCGACATCACAAAAGAATCACACGAGCCGGGAATTCAAACGGAGGTTTTTACTCAAAGCCTGCGGACTGGCGTTACCTGTTGACGGTGGATTTGAGGAGAAGCACGCACACGGAGCTCCTCTCGATCTCCTGTTTGCGTGCCAATGCGAACGAGGCGGCATTGTCTTCGTGGAAGCAGACGTTCAGGTAGAAATGTCCCAGACCTTCACACAGCCTCCTCAGAACCAGAGAGTGTTTCTGTATTCAAGGTATGAAGACATGGAGTGAACAGTGGACGACATCCATTTTACAGATTATTTCAGAAATGTTTTTTTTTAATGCCTGCAAAAAAAAAAAAAAAAAAAAAAAAAAAAAAAGAATAAAATAAAATACTGGACATAGAAATTTATATTCATCAATCCAAAATCTCCTGTATCTGAATGCATCTTTTGGGAAAAACAAACAAACAAAAAAAAAACCAAAAAAAAAAAACAAACAAAAAAACAGAATCAGACTGAAAAGATCATCTACATTTGCATTTGACTGCTATTTTAAGCCGCATTAAATAATGTTAGAGTCCACAACTCTTTTCTTCCTTTATTATCCCATACGGGTGACATCATCTCTGGTCAGGTACCCGATATATGTCGCCTCTTACACCGAGATCCCGCAAAAATGCCACTTCAGAAAACTTGGTTGCTCCCATCACGTGGATACACACCTTTGTAAAGATCTCCATCTCTGCTCTGGTCTCCGGCGTGCAGATGAAGTAGCAGCGCACCGTGTTGCTCCACAAGGCCTGAGGCACATGAGGGGACACCTGCAGCAGACTGGCCACCGCAGCATCCCAGTCATCTAGAAAAATGTGATCGCTTCTCATTAGGGCAAGATGGAAAAACTACTATTCTACTTCCGACAGGATGTATCCTACCTGAGTAGACTTCAGTCCTTGAACACCAGTCTATGTTTCAAATTCTGACGTTCTACTCGCTTGCTTACCTCTGCTCACGTTTGCGAAGGGGCCCTCTACGTCGATGAGGCTATGGGCGAACTCTGGTCCCCGGAAGGTCTGTTGCAGCTGCATCATGCTGCCCATAGAGGGCTCACTTCCCAGCACACCGCCATTCCAGTACTCGCACTGGGTTCCAGCAGCTGGAGACACAAAAAACGCAATCGCCTGCCACAAGGTGTTGGAAGTTTTACCCTTCTCAATTTTTGCACGAAAGAGTGGGTGGGCTTTACCTGTCACAGTAGTTTGGTTGTCGTCTGAATCGGAATCATTGGGACAATAAACTTGGATGCCCTGAGCTTGCAGTTGTTGCATTTTGGACTCCAAGTCCCGCTTGGCACGAAGGAGATCCTGGATTTCCTTCTCCTTTGTCTCCCGAAATATCTTGCAGTGAACAAATGGAAGATTAGCATGAAGAAAAATATTTTAATGACTGGGACGTACCTTAAATTGCCTCTTCACTTTATCCCTGTCATGCTCAAACGTAGAGGCCCTCTCCATAGCTTGGTATTTGGCCTCCAGGGCACTCTCCTTCTCTCTTAGGATCTTCTGGTAGGTCTTTTGCAAAGCCTGGGGTCACATTGAGGACATTTTAAAGCCAAATAGCACATTTTCTCTTTGTTTTGGAGTGTGGGTTCTTGCAAATTTTTGGTGGTCCTACTCATGATGGAGAGGATGACGAAAATTGTATGTTGAGGAAAAACTGATTGGATCTGACCGTATATTTTTTTTGCAATCCATCATTATTTTGTGCTTCACCACTGCAAAATTTTAAGATTTTATTTGTTTTTGTAGTTTTAACCACAGCTGCACTAGACTTGTAGTCATATAGAAAGGTATTATGTTCAGGTTTATTCAAATAAAGAATTAAAACAATGAGACAACACGGATGCAATTTCATTTAAAAAAAATCTGAATGCATTGATAAAGATGTGTTATGTTTTTATAAAGTTCAATATGACAAAGGGTGGCGCGGTGGTCGACTGGTTCGCACATCCTCCTCACACTGCAGAGGTGCAGGGTTTGATTCTGGCTTTGAGCTTCCTGTGTTAAGTTTGCATGTTCTCCCTGTGCCTGCGTGGGTTTTCTCCAGGTACTGCGATTTCCTCCCACACTCCAAAAACATGCATGTCAGGTTAATGGAGCAGTCAAAGTTGTCCCGAAGTGTGATTGTGAGTGCGAATAGTCGTTTGTGTAGGTGTGCCCCGCGATTGACTGGCAACCAGTTCAGGGTGTACCCCGCCTACCCGAAGACAGCTGGGATAGGCCCACCCATGACTCTCGTGAGGATAGGCGGATTAGAAAATTGATGGATGGATGGAAACACAATAGAGTGATATTTGCCTTTAAAACAACACATTACACTACATAAAGACTTGAGGGGGTGGTGGAACAAATTTTATGTATTTCTATCCACTTCAGTGGTATCTTGACGCACTTAAGGACAATATTTCTAATTTGACAAGTCTTTTTTTTTTTTAAACACAAATAACTAGCATTTTTGCCAACTCTGTGTGATACTGCAGCTGTATCCTACCTGTAACTCAGCCCTCAGCCTCTTATTTTCTTCGTCCAGCTTGGCCTCCTTCTTCTGCATAGACGTGATCTCGTTGTTCTTGCTCACGCGGAAAATCTCGTACTCCTTGCGCAGACGCTCGTACTCGGCGGCGTACTCGAGGTCCACGGAGCCCGTCGACTTAAAGCTAGCCCCAATCACCCGAGGTCCCCGGCGGAAGGAACTGCGCAAGAGCCGGGCTTTGGGCTTCACCTCCACGGGGATCTCGCACGCTTCGCCGCCCTCGCCCCCGTAGCCGTCCTCGATCACATCCCCGGGGCTGACCAGGGAGGAGGCCGTGCCCATGGTGGCTAAGGCGGCCTGTTAGACTTTTTGGGGAGTATTGTGCGAGTAGTAGCCGTAAAAATGTCATTAAACTAATTAACTAAGCCTGCTCTGAGAAGAGTTCAGTTCCACCAAAAAGCTGCATGCTAATTAGCGCCGACCATATCCCACCTGTTGCTGGTTTAGCTAGCGTTAGCATCACGAGGATGGCTCGCGGAAAAAGAAAGAAAAATTTAACGTCTGGAGGAAAAACACATTTAAAGGATAACCTGGTGTTGGTTTTAAGTATACCGCGATGTCAGCAACGTTGTCACGTTCAATAATTAAACTAAACTAAAAAGATTCTTCTCAGCTTCTTCCTGGCTGTCTTGGTAACAAGTTGTACCCGTACGGGGAACCGCACAGGACAAAATAGGTAGAATTCGATTAAAAAAAACAAAAAGAAGTTAGAGTAGTTATCTGGGTTATGACGTCTAATTGCCAGATTTCCGTGAAGCAAAAACTGAGAGCAAAATTAATAATTTGTAAATATTTTCCACGATTACGGTGTTCTACAACATGTACAATTTTGAAAATCAACAATTTACAATCCATTTTTTCCAAAGACTGGTAAAATAAACAGCTGATCACACACGTTTTTGCATATTCTTATAAGTGGATACGGGGCTTCATTCAAGATTAACCAGGACACAACTGCCATCATTTAAAGTGCCCCTAATTAACGCCAGATAGTTAATGACTAATATTTGGAACTGTTCAGAATTCCTTCCATTTTGACAAAGGCGCCAGCTTCAACTTAAAAAAACCCCCAGCTCCAAAGCATTATGCCACACCCCAGAAAGGGTATGCACACGTGTGCAACCACATATCAGTTTTTTTATTTTTACAGTATTAAAAGAAGAACATAATTTTGCGTTCCACGGGTGCACATGGTCCATTGACCGACTAAATTGTACCTTACCTAACCATTTGTTTTTCTCTCTCTCTCTATTATATATTCATTCATTCATTTTCCGAACCGCTTAATCCTCACAAGGGTCGCGGGGGGGGGGGGTGCTGGAGCCTATCCCAGCTGTCTTCGGGCAGTAGGCGGGGGACACCCTGAACCGGTTGCCAGCCAATCGCAGGGCACACAGAGACGAACAACCATCCGTGGTCACACTCACACCTAAGGACAATTTAGAGTGTTCAACCAGCCTGCCGTGCATGTTTTTGGAATGTGGGAGGAAACTGGAGTACCCAGAGAAAACCCACGCAGGCCCGGGGAGAACATGCAAAGTCCACACAGGGATCGTCTTTTGTGGAGGGAAGTTATTTACATACATATACATACAGTATATGATGAAAGTCGTCATTCTCTCACCTGTCTTTAGGCAGAAGTTTCAGGTAGGACCAGTGATGTCAACACCTTTCACTCCTTTTACAAGCTTTCTTTTGCTCATTAAACACACAAACAAACACACGCTTGTTTTAAACCTTTTATTCAAATCCAAAAATGGAAGCTCGCATTCCAGCAGGAGTGGGGAACCTTTTTTCCTATTTTAAATGATGGAAAAAAAAACCCCGCAAGATGTGTCGATCAAACAACCTTCATGAGGTTATAAAGATGACAAGCATTTGTGTGTTCAATGTTTTTGAGGCTTTTTAGAACAGGTTGCCCACCCTTGCTTTCCAGGCTTCAATGTCTGCTGCTACTCAACATGGCGATATGACTTAAAGCTTTACAAAAACCAAACAAAAAAAGAAAATATTTACATGGTCCAATCTGTGCAAACATCATTCTTTTATTTCTACGCCACTCTCCTAAGGTATCTGATGGATAGGCATGCATACGAATCATAAACTTTGGTGTGTTAACAAAACTACTTGTCTTAGTCGAGAGGCATTTACTCTACTGTACATCCACCGTTTTGTTACATCTCGAGTACGGTTTACGTGACAGTACATGGGTGCGTATTCCCCTAAATTCCCCCACCCAAAACTTGGACAACTTTGGCAAGTAGGCACACTTATGTTATTGGTCAGCGTGATGCTTCTTATTCTATTTCGCTCCCCAAATGTTGGCAGTTGAGACGCATTCACTTTGATGAGAAAAATACTCGGTCTGTTTACAAGGCATTTACAAGGGTGGATACGCATTGACAGATTAAATATACTACGCTTATCCAAAGCTCTGGTACGAAAAAATAAAACAAATCTGTACACCCTATGTGTAATATAGTACATCTGATTCTAATGTTGAAGCCCCTTTCACACTGCTCGTATATTTTTTTTTTTACACTGTTCTGTACAAATAAACTGAGGTGGAATAGGACAAAGTATCAGAGCCGTAACAGAGGGGTAAGTCATTCTCTACCGGTCAGTTGCAATGAATGCAGTATTCGAAATTTTTTTTTCAAGGTAGTAGTGGGCCAGAAAAGCGTTCTCTGCTGGTTTAACACTGATTTATAAATGTCAATATTTGCTCCATCTCCGTGGAATATTATATGAGTTCATTACCCACAGTCGATTTTCTTCATTTTGTAGCGTTTCATGTGGCTACATGTGATGTTGAATTTGTTCAATCAGATTTCAGCCTCCATATGCTGTCGTGCCGATCTAATCTGTCCAGGGCCTTCAGATGCAGAGTAGCGATTTTAGATCTAACTTCAACTATGGTTATTATCATTATTATTTATTTATTTATTTATTTTTATTTATTTTTTAACAATCACATTTCAAATTTGCCTCACATTAACATTCTCCACCATCTCATTGGTTGGTCAAAGCAAAACTTGTTAAGGGCAAATTCAACTGGCTAACCAGTCAAAGTAGCAATCTGCCCATATTAATCAATCACCATCTCCGGTGAATATGACGCATTTTATTTCAATTTTGTCATGTTTTGTCATGATTGTAGATAATTATTTAACATTTATATATTGTGGTTAGGCCCCACTAAGGGCCAAATGCACCGCCTGCCACTTTTTCTGTTACAGCTCTGATTCTGCCATTTTATTTTGCATGGTCCCTGCGTGAAAGAGAACCCCCCCCCCCCAAAAAAAAACACATAGGCGAGTACAGTACAGTTTTTGCTGCTACACAAGAGGAGTTAGGGGGCCGCGTGGATTACGAAGGAGCTAAAGCGGGGCTAGTCCTTAGCCGCCGAGGCTGTCGGGATGCAGGATTTGCCGCTGCTGCCGTTGTGGGCCCGGTAGCTGGTGAAGCTGGGGGTGTGTATGGTGCGGATGCTCTTTCCGCCCGGGCCCAAAGGCGATAGAAGGGAGGGGGAGGTAGAAGAGGAGGATGAAGAGGAGAAGGAGGAGGAAGAATGGACTCGACCGTTGGGGGTCTGCGAGGAGAAGGAGAGAGCTTTAGCCGCGTGCTGCGAGGGGGGCTTGAGGGAGCCGTTGGACAGGGAGGGGATGTGCGAAGAGGGCAGGGAAGCCGAGCGAGCGTTATGGGAGGACGGGAGGGAGGACTTGGAAGAGGAGGACGGGTTAGCGGGATTAGCGGCGTCTGAGCCGCCTTTAGTAGCGCTAGGGTAAAAAGCGGGGATTTTAGAGACGGGTACAGTGGGGGAGGTAGTTTTATGATCCGCTCCCACTCTTTTAGTACTTCCGTTAGCCTGTGAAGAGAGATGCCAAAACACATACTGATTGTCAAAAAAAAAAAAAAAAAGTCAAACAATACACATACAAGTCTCTACAAACAGTGAACACTAATGATACACAGACAACAATCAAGACAGTATGTTTACGGGGATAACAGCAGGGGTGGGAATCACTCTTGATATCACCACAATACAATGTCATCATCATGTTTTTGAAAACAAGGCAACTGGACTACATCAAGTGAATCTGCCAAGGTACATGGTCTCGAATTCTTCATGTTGGGCCCGACGAGCAAACAGAAGCAGAGCGAAGAGACTTCAGGCAGCTGAATCTATTCCAAAGTGACATGGAGTTAGCGATATAACCTATTTTTCAAAAAATAAACCTTCAAGCTGATGAAGTTAGTTTTATAGTAACACTATTACAAATAAGTCATGCTAGCAGCAGAGCAGGTTGTGGCTAACCTAGTCTTGTTGGCTGCTGATGCTATCTTAGTATTGCTAGCGTTGCTAGTTTCATTCTCTGCGGCTGTCATACCACACCCTGCCTGCCATTATTAATGGCTTTGTTTGAACAGAGTTTAAAAGTCCTTTGGTATCTAAGTTTAGGGTAAAATTACAGTTTGAACTGTTAATTTTTTATAGACAATTAGTTGTGTTTTTTGCTATTCGCAGAAGGGTTCATTCCCTTATCCAGCAAAGGTTTTATTAAAACGCTGCAGTGCGCAGCATTTCATCAGCCGGCCACTCAATGGAAAATTTTCGAACTGGTGTGACCACCGTCCATCTGAGTGTTAAACCGAGTGGGAATCCTCCATAATACAGAAAACTTTGTCATTAACTGAGAAGCATCTTCACCCACAATTGGGTCGTCCAGTTGCCTTGATTCAACTCCTTTACTCGCCAGTCAAATCCCCGATAAGTGTCCCTTCATCGACATTGATACTTTGTCCCACCCCTACTGAACAGAGAGACGTTACCGGGAAACAGGATGCATACAGTAGGTTAGACTGGTAGGGACATCTCTTCAGCTTCCTTTGTTAGTCGGAGTGTTAGGTTCTCCCAAGAGGCTGTGGGAGACGTTTCAGAAGATGCACAGAAGGGTTTGGAGAAGCTTATGGAGACGTAGTTAAGGGGGGTGTGTTTGTGTGTGTGTGTGAGAGAGAGAGAGAGAGAGAGAGAGAGAGAGAGAGAGAGAGAGAGAGAGAGAGAGAGAGAGAGGGAAAGAGAGGTGAGAGCAAGCAGGCGGGGGTGTGGGGCAAATTTTGGGCTGGCACTTATCTGCCAGGACTGATGGTGAGAAGATCAGGACGTGGTGAGTTGAGTTTGAGGCTTTTACAGGAGAAGAAAAAAGGTCTCAGTGAGGTTAAGAAGTGGTCAAAGCAGTTGTTTCGGGTTTGCCAAGGAGGTGCACGCTGAGAAGGGTGCGGGAAGTGTGGAAAATAAGCATCCTGGGTGGGGGGAGGGGCGGGCGTAAGGAGTTGATGTTGGGGTTCGGCAACACTGTTTAGGAACTCAGCTGTGGTGGGAACTGGAGATGCGATGACCATTTTGCAAATGTGTTCCGCTTTTTGTCTGCCATTCGTTCCAGTTTTTTTACATTTGGTCACCAACACAGTGAAAACCATGAGCAGTGTGGACATGCAGAAGCATACAGTACAGTGATGTTATGGGGTAACAGTCAAGAGTCAATCATGCCTTCCTGTCAAAGCGGAAACATCGATAGATCCACAATCAAAAGGTTCCCCCGCTTTATTGTACATGCCGCTCCCTCATAACCATTGTCCTCTTGTCTGTATGGGTAAGGCCCTACAGTAAAACTACCTGTCGGAACTGCCTTTGAGCGTCCTGCAGTTTTGGCTGTTTTCCTGCTTTGTCAGTAGTAGCCGGCGACTGCCTGGACTTCGCGGACAAAGGGATGGGCATCCGACTAGTGGGGGAAGCGACACTGGTATTCTGCAAGGGGGGGACCCAAACGAAACAAACAAAAAAAAAACAACAAATAAAACAAAAGAAGGGGAAGGAACAACACAACGCATAGGAAGAGTAAGACATCAAGGCACTGACAGTTGAAAAAACTCAAATAAAACCCTGATCGTTAAAACACCAGTGAAAGACCATGCACCCATGTTGAACCTCACACCTAAAACAGTAGTACAGCACATGCAACCAGGACAACTTTGAGATGAATCATCACCGAAATGTCTTTGATTGCTGAAAACCTTTCAGCAATGAAGTGAAGGAGTTAGGTGGGAGGCGGGAATTGCCACCTCAAATCATGTCAACATGATTTTAGGTTTTTGTTTTTTGTTTTTTACAGAGAGAGCCAAGGTGGACTTTTCCGACATTTCCAAGTACCTGCGGAGTGGATTAATGCTTTTGTCATTTCAGTGGGTAAGGTTGGAGTGAAGGTAGATTGGAAAGAGAAAGACCCCCGAAGCCTTGTGGAGCGGCAAGAGCTAGAGAGTGACCTGTTGGATGGTGCTGGGGGTACTGGGGGCACTGACGGCGGTGGTGCTGGAGCTGGTGCTGGCGGGGATGACTACAGGGCGCGGAAGGAGCAGAGGTTTATGCTTCTTCTGGAATGAACCTTTGCTGGCCAGCTTCAGTGCCGACGCCTTGGAAGTTGGAAGCGAGGCGGACCGCCGCAGCCCTTCAGACACTTTGCCATTCTCTCCCTTTTTCACCTCAGAGTAAACCGGCTCTTCGGGAGAAACGGGTCCTATCTCGTTAATGGTGGTCTCCAACTGCTTGATGGTCTGTTCTAAGCTGTCCAGTGTCTTGTAGGTGTTCTTACGGATCTCGTTGGTCCTGCAGACAGAGTCCGAGTTGTGCCTCTTTAGCGGGGTGGGGCTCGGTGCCTTGAGGGACTCCGCTGAGGATTTTGAGCGCGAGATCTCAAATCTCTTGGCTTCCTTGTGCTGCTTTACAGTTCCGTCCGATTCCTCCTCATCCTCATACACGACCACCTGTAATGTTTTCTTTCCCGACTTGGTGCCTGTGCGAATGGCTTGGGTAAGTGCTGCGAACTGTTTCTTGGGGAATTTGAACTTGAACTTTTTCTTGCTATCCTGCTTGGCCTCTCCGTTCGATACTCCAGTGTCTGCTGAGTCCAAAATTAATGACGACGATGACGATGACAGGCTGGTATGGTCTTCGGCGGCTTGAGAAGAAGTAACCTTTTCGCCGTCAACCGACCCGGGCACTCCGGTTTTCACCTGTAGCCCGCCGCTCCTGTCAGTGTCCGACTCCTCGCTCTCCTCATCGATCCGCTCCGCCGCTAGCATCCGGTCTAGCTCCTCTTCGCACTCAAAGATGGTGGAAAGGCGTTTGTAGGCGGCCCGGATGTCCATGGGTTCATCGAAAATAATGATGACGGGCTTCTTGTTGAAGCCATTATCCAGAGGCAAGTCGGAATCCGTTGCATTGTTCCCTCCACCGACAGTCACAGTCTGGACACTTCCCCTCTTGGCATTGACCAATTCCTTGTACTCCCCACAAGAAAGGGCCTGAACCTTAGTGTTAGTGATCATAAAGGCAATGTTGTCCGGTGGAGGAGGTGCCTCTTCTCCTGGTAAGTCAGGACTAAGACTAGCCTCTTCATTAGCTTCCTCGAAGTTACATTTAGGCGGATTGTGCTCCTCACTTGATGACCTCCTCGGCGGCGGTGGTGGAGCGCAACCTTTAGACCCCTCTCTGGCTAACGCGGTCGCTCCAGCCTCGGATTTTACATTCTTACTGGAAGAGACAGACTCCAGTACAAGCTGACTCTTCTTCTCTGTGCCGATTCTGTTCAGGTTCTTCCCCTTCTCCATTTCGGTACTGGTCTTCAAGGACTCGGAGCGTTTTAGGGGCTTCCTGGGTAGTTTGAATGCAGTCAGTCCTGCAGGTTTGGGCGAAATAGGCGGTGGGGACTTGAGTGGTGCTGACTTAGGCGGTGGTGATTTGGGTGCCGTTAATTTTGGCGGTCGCTGCTCCTGCTGTTGTGGCTGGCCTGGAGAATTGTCGTTAATAGTGACATTTGACACCTGTGATGGAGACTGGGTGGGCTCCCGGTGTTCGTGGGATTCCTCCGTTCCGGAATGGTGCGGCTGCTCTTTTGGAATCTTTCCGGTCACGTAGTATATGACCTGCAAAGTTTGCAATGGCTGTTAAAAAGCCCCTTATTTGGAATGACCTCAAATGTAGAAGATGGTACAGCCAAAAGTGACACCGTACGTACCCCTTGGCTTTGCCGGACAGTCGTGTTTCCATTTTCGTCCGTGTCAGGATCTTTTTCATCCTGTTTTGGCTCTGAGCTCTGCTATGACAGTTTTAGGAAATTATAACACTGTGTCACCGGGTATGTTAAATCTGTGAAGTGACTAAAATGATTTCCCTCAATTTCTATTGCCAAAGGAATGAGTTTCTACCTTTTTTCTTAAATTTGCTCGATATTTGTTTCATATTCATCGAACTATTTCTGATAGGTCTTATCATTAAGGTTGCGGCTGAGCTGGAGCCTCTTCCCGCTGACATTGGGCAAGAGGCGGGCGGGGTACACCCTGGATTGGCCGCCAGTAATCACAATCCGTATAAAGAAAAACAGTGATTCTCACTCACATTCCCTCCTATGGACAATGTAGAACAGGGGTGTCAAACTCATTTCACATTGTGGGCCACATACGGACTCGGTAGATGTCAAGTGGGCCGGACCATTAACATTGTACCATACTCTGCTATAAATAACCAAAATATCATGTCTTTCCTTTGTTTTGGTCTAAAGAAGCATTGGCGTATTGATACCATCTGCTGTGTTGGGTCTGTCTCAGTGACAGATGAGACTGCTGTTTTCGTCTCTGAACAAAACAATGTACCCCCTAGCGGATAATCCATGAATTGCATTTTATTAAAAATATTCATTCTGTGTCTTTAATGCATTTTTTCACTTTTAAATTATTCTGCGGGCCAGATCGAACCTCCTTGGAGGCCGGTGCCGGCCAGCGGGCCGTATGTTTGACACTCCTGATGTAGAGTCTTCCATGAATCTAATGCACATGTTTTGGAGATGTGGGAGGTCAATTGTTTCACGAAAAAAGCCACACAAGCACGGTGACAAGGCAAACTGGAAACCCGAAATGCGAGGCAGATGCGCGAACCGTTTTTCATCCGTGCCGCACACTATTTCCTGTACTTAGACTTATCATGACAATTTTAGGACATTATTTGTATGTTATGACTTTGTGCTGGAAACACGTGTTCAAAAAGAAACGAAATTGATCAACGAGAAAGATGAATTCGTGAAGTCGGAGAAGGCTTAGCAGAGACAGAAAAAGTGCTGTGACATGAGAGAAGCATGCACACCGGGCCACACGGCTCTATCGTGAACTAAGTCTGCACTAATAGGTCGATAGTACATATCTGATCTCAAATGGGGATGATGATTCAATAAAAAGACACAAATGCTCATTGGGGAACAAAGTGCAATCGTTTTTATTTGATTTGGTGAAGCGAGGTTGGAAGACATTGTCCATGTTGGTCTTCCAGAGGCTCCCTTTCATGCAGACTTAATCCTGGGAATGTTTCAAGTGGTCGAATCCAAAGCGACAAGGAGGAGGAGGAGGAGGAAGATTAGGAGGCAGCGACAGGAGGCTTGGAGGTTAAAAGTGTTGGTCAAGCCCAAGCGAGTGTTACTAGGCGCAGGCAGCGAGCTGGCGACGACACACGGGGGTGGTTTACCTTCTTGTCCGCTCTTAGCTCTCTTATTTGAGCTTCCATGTGAGGAGCCGGCTCCGCCGTGTTTGGCGGCCCGACTTCCTGAATTGTGCACTTCTGGAAAACCTGGTGCAGAAAGGTTGTGGGGACAAGGAATTTGAAGAAAAACTGGATTTGTGATCAGCTACCAGAGCCCACTGCATTGCCACTTCTGAGGTGGGGGAGGAAGGCAACCCAATACCAACGGTGCGGAAATCAGCCACCCGAGTGAAATCACCCAAGAAAGAAGAGGGGTGTGCGTCTGTGTGTGCGTGCGTGCGTGCGTGCGTGCGTGCGTGCGTGTGTGTGTGTGTGTGTGTGTGTGTGTGTGTGTGTGTGTGTGTGTGTGTGTGTGAGAGACCCACTTGGAGTTCTGCCATGATCCTGTCGCTATCATCCTCCTCCTCCCTGGCAACAACAGGAGGTGGAGTAGCGGGCTTCCTGGGTTCTGGTGGGACACTTTTATTGGGCTTGATTTGGGCGACAGGGAGCAGTCTCTCCTCTTCCCCCTCCTGGGAAAAAAATAAAATAAAAAATCTGTGGTGGGGAGTCTTCTTGTATAAAAGTGGACTTAACTGGTATCTTTATACTAATATCTCAATCTGACTTTCTGAAATCTGGATTTTATCTTGACTTACTGCGCTTCTTGCGAAAGCTGACTAAATTAACTTGATCTGCACGTAGAAGTTTTTTTTTTTTTGTTTTGTTAAGTCATGAAAATCGTTCTTGCATTATATAAATATGAATACAACGCAGCCTATCTGTCAAAGCCTTTGTTAGCTATAACCGCCAACCACTCCCTCTTCCACTATTATGGCGCACCTGGAGAATGGGATATGGTGGCGGCCTGTTGGCGGAGAAGCCTGACCACTACAAGTGGATTGTAATTTCCCACCGAAACCCCTCATTATTTTTTTACAAGACTCACCTGAGAGTCCTTTCTGCTGGTGTAGACCACCTCTCCAGAACGCGTGGTGGTCATGCCGGAGTTGCCGAAGGTCTTCCTGGGAGGCGGCGGTGGTGGGGACTTGGCGACAATTTCGGATCCCATTTTATTAAAAGAATCCGGGGATGCGGGTTTCCCGGGGGTCTTAGGGGGTCTTTCCGGAGCTGGTTTGGCAGTTTTTTCCATCACCAGCTTCGAAAGCTTCTCCGGAACCCTCTTAGCTGGTTTGTCCATAGGAGGCTCAGGCTGAGGCTCTAAGACGTGACAAGAAAGTGTTAAGTGAGCTGAAGGAACACTGTAAATCTTATTGTTAATGGATTATTTATTGCAGAGACCTGTTGGGGACTCCAGGGGGATTTTTGCTTGGTCTCTGGAGGCAGCAGGGGGCAGCAGTGGGTTACTTTCCACATCAGGGCTGGGAAGGCCCTTGATCATGTTGGCCTCTGCCTCCTGGAGGATTTTCTCAAACTCTTTTTCATCATACTGACCCATGTTCTGCCTTCTCTCCTCCCACTCCTTCTCTGCTGCCTACAGCCATTAAAAAAAAAAAAAAAAAAAAGTTGAAAATAGCCTCCCAATTACCTCAGCCAAGGCCGAAAATTACTTATAAGATTGAAGGCATTACAAAAAAATAAGCTTATAAGCTTTTACCAAAGAGCGTAATTAAAACATCTTGATAGTTTGATGTTGTTTTTTTACTGATACTCTGTACTTAAGTAGAGTAGAAAGAAAAACACCTAATCAAAATAAAACAGTAGCCCAATCGCCTTGATAATTTCTTAATCTGAATTATCTCATATTATTTATGTAATTACAATATTTTAAGAAAAAAATAATAAAAGGAAAACATAAAAATGTAATAGAATTAAAATGGTCAGTCATTTATTCATTAGATATTTCTTTAAATTAAAAGATATTGGCTACATCAGAGCTCTATTGACATTGCTCTGTTTAATAATATCACAAAGTTGTGGCAGTTGTCATCTAATTTATATTATGTATTCATTCTAGGATAACAACAACGGACAAACTCAACAAAACTAAACTAAAATGACTGGACTTGATTTCTCTGGACATTGTTTGAAAATGTAATTACAGAAAAAGCCGTTCTGTTGTGGCCTGTCATTGAATCGTTTGACATTAATGCAACTAAAATAAATTAATATAGAAGAGCGACACGTACCTCGATGGACATTGCTCTGTTCTTGCATTTCTCCTTACTATGCTGCAGCTCCTCAATGACCAGACCCTGGTTGGCGGTCCCGTTGCCGTGGTTCACCGGACTCCCAAGTGTCATTTTATGGTGGGCCGGGCTCGGCGGGTCCGCGGACGTTGCCTTGGGGGACTCCCGGCCTTGACTCTTGCTCAGACTGGGAGCGTTGAAGGGAGCGGGGCAGGCTGCGAGAGGCGGGCTGGGCTGAGCGGCGGACAAGCTGGCGGACTGTTGCGATTGCCGCACAGGAACCGGGGAGCTTTGGACGTGATGGATCACCACCGGAGAGGAGGGCTTCACCTCGGATTTCACGGTGGAGCTCTGGGACTCCGGCGGGGCCGCTGTGGATACTGATGCTGGTGGGGTCTCCGCTGGAAATAGGATGTTGTCCGCTGGGATGTCAGAAGAAGGGTCGGCCACTCGCTGACTGCTCTCACTTGCAGATCTGCAACGACGATGAGACTAATGTCTTTCATTTATTGTTTTGTTAAGCCATTTGTATTTATACGTTTCATGTCCGTGTTTGTGATCAGTACTAATGGCTTTGTTACAGCTGCAGCGGTTTGTGAAGGCTCTATTGAAATAAAGCTCCAGTAACTCTTCACCTAACGCTTTTTCTAGCCACCTCACCTTCTCAGAGAGCTCAGCGTGTCCGTCAGGCTCTTCACCCTTTTCAGCATGCTGTCCAGTTTGTGAGGCTCCTCCTTGAGAAACTTGACGGCTTCCACCTCCACGCGGAGCACGGCGCGCATTCTGGTTTGCAGGGCCGGAAACTCTCCTAGGCAAACACAGAAAGAAACACATTTTTGTTGACATAGTACGACAGTCTCCAGGAACGCTCCACATAACACAAGATGTCACACTGTTTACATGCTGCCCTTTTGGTTCGCAAAAGGTTTCGCAAAATTACTGTTGAGGCCGGTGTATTTTTTCCAAAGGGATGTCTACATCGGTGCCTTAAGGGACACGTCACCTGACGCACGAATTGCCTTTCAGCAGTGAATATTGGAACAACAACGGTGAAGCAACATGTATACAGACAATATAAGAATACACTCATGCATATATTCTTTATCCTTTGAGAAAAATGACACATATTACTGAGTCAGTTGTGAAAGTCTTTGTCTCAATGATTGTCATATACTGCCCCCTGGTGTCCAATGCATGCACAACAGAGGAAGCAGGAGAATGTTTATTGAAGTGAAGCAAAAATGTGGCAAAAAAAAAAAAATCGTTTGATTTTACATTCATGTCTTTTTGGTTACATTGAGGAATATTGGGCATGGTCTCACCTTTCAGGCCTGCCAGCGACTCTCCCACCTTCCTCAGAGTCACCGCCCCCTCCTCCACATCCTTGAGGGTCACCGCTCGGTGAGTCCCCAACAAGTCCTTCTGGAGAGTGCCCACGTATTGCTCCAGATCACTATGGGAAAACCCACCCGCAAAAACAAAACACCAAAAACACAGGTTGTTTAATTGGAAATGTAAACGGTTTAACATTTGTATGGACACATTCTGTTTATAGATTGACAGATAGATCATTCCACTTTCCCAACTGCTTCAACCTGTTTTAGGCTATGAGCTCACCCCCGGAACCACGAATGTTTACACGCCGAAAGCCAAATTGTGAGATCAGTCCTTCCCCCATGTTAACTTTAAGCTGCTTAGCCAGCTCTTGAGAGAAGGGGTTCCTTCCTCCAGAGGTAAAAAAGCGCAGTGGAGATAACATTGTAAGCCATGCTGGATTGCACGCATACTGGTTTCCCTCTTTTGTATAAATCACCTCAAGTGCACAGACAAGACAATAAGGAGTGTGTGTGTGTGTGTGTGTGTGTGTGTGTGTGTGTGTGTGTGTGTGTGTGTGTGTGTGGGTGTGTGTGTG